GCTCCTTTCTTTGCCCTGCCAATTGCTGTCCACATCCTTCTTGGAGATGCAGCCTGCCGATAACGGAAGTCTTAGCCAGCCTGCTTGTTACTTGACACATCGGCTTACGCAGAGCTTTGTGACACAACTCCAAGCTGAGAGCATTCAAAATAGGGCAGGGTGTGTGTGCTTTAGCATCATGAAACATTTCTTGGCTTTGCATGGTTATTTTTTTTTGGGGGGGGGGAATTTCAAGACCGCTTACTGTAAACCACACATTGGCACTGGGATGTGTGTGTGTGTGGACATACTAAATGGGTCCCCTCTGCTGATCTTAACACCTGACAGAGGGCTCATCCAGACTTAATTTTGAGCTGTGTTTCTAGGCCCAGGAATGCATTTTAAAGCTCCATTTCCAAGAACTGTTTCCCTCGCCCCAGTGCTTTCCCCATGAAAACCTGCTCTTTAGTTCCAAATCGGAGCAGACAGCAATCCACAGAAAACCCGAAGTGCCATTTGTTCCGATTCAGCATGAAAGAGCGAGTTTTCCAAGGGAAAGCAATGGAGAAAAAGGTAAGTGTGGATGAGCCCAGAATCTCTTTCTCTGTGTGTAACCTTCAAGTGTTTGCTCCTTTTTGCAGGGAGCTTCTCCTGAAGTATGATGTCATTCATGCATCATGGATTCACCCCTGAAAGCACATTCTTCAATTGACTCCCAAAACCGAGGGATGCCAACCAGATAAGAAAGGAAAAGGAACTTGAGATAGTAGCAGTCTCTCCCCACCCTAAATATAGGGTGTCTACCCCTTATGGGTGCATCTAAGGTCTAGGGAAAAAGCAGAGACATCACCTTGCCAACAAAGGTCCATATAGTTAAAGCCATGGTTTTCCCAGTAGTGATGTATGGAAGTGAGAGCTGGACCATAAAGAAGGCTGATCACCAAAGAACTGATGCTTTTGAATTCTGGTGCTGGAGGAGACTCTTGAGAGTCCCATGGACTGCAAGGAGATCAAACCTATCCATTCTGAAGGAAATCAGCCCTGAGTGCTCACTGGAAGGACAGATCCTGAAGCTGAGGCTCCAGTACTTTGGCCACCTCATGAGAAGAGAAGATTCCCTGGAAAAGACCCTGATGCTGGGAAAGATTGAGGGCACAAGGAGAAGGGGACGACAGAGGACGAGATGGTTGGATAGTGTTCTCGAAGCTACGAACATGAGTTTGACCAAATTGTGGGAGGCAGTGGAAGACAGGAGTGCTTGGCGTGCTCTGGTCCAGGGGGTCACGAAGAGTCGGACACGACTAAACGACTAAACAACAACAACAAGGTCTAGGGTCAAAGTGTGTGGGGACACCCCATACTTTGGACATCAAAGACAGTGCTTCATTTGTCTTGAAGGCCACAGAAGCTGCTGTACAGGTGCAGAGTACCCGCATGAGCTGAGAATCGTGGGAAGCTGGTTTCGCTTAACTTGATCCCACTACTCCTGATTATTTCCATAGCAGATTTCTGTTATGTGTGTAGGAAGCACACCTGGTCATCCCCGGTCGAAATAACATACACTTAGCCTAGTTAATGAGTTGTAGGGATGCCAACCGACTAGAAAAACCTATTTCACCTGCTCTTGTCCTTTAATGCCAGCTTGATGCACAGCCAAAATCAAGTAGGCATTATCTGCTAATGTCTTTGTCTGAAGCCACTGGAGCAGGGACCAGTAAAAGGGAGAGGGGAGTTCTGGCATTATAAAAAGTTGGACCATTGCCACTGGATATCAGGGGCAGGCCAGGGCATTCTGATGTTATAGCTGGGGAAGGGGAAGAGTGGAGTGGAAACAAGCAGTCCACCAGCAAACGTATCAGGTGGGATACAGAATAATAATAATAATTTATAATACTAATTTATTATTTATGCTCCACCCATCTGGCTGGGTTTCCCCAGCCACTCTGGGTGGCTCCCAACAGAATATTAAAAACATGATAAAACATCAAACATTAAAAACTTTCCTAAACAGGGCTGCCTTCAGATGTCTTCTAAAAGTCAGATCGTTGTTTATTTCCTTGACATCTGAAGGGAGGGCGTTCCACAGTGCGGGTGCCACTACTGAGAAGGCCCTCTGCCTGGTTCACTGTAACCCCACTTCTGGTGCAGTGAGGGAACCACCAGAAGACCCTCAGAGCTGGACCTCGGTGTCTGGGCTGAACGGTGTGGGTGAAGACCCTCCTTCAGGTATACTGAAGAGGCATGGAATCAAGAAGGCACTTTTAGAAGCGGCTGCTGGGATGAGTTGAAGATGGAGTGCTAGCCCCTCAACAGGTTGTAAAGGTAAAGGTACTCCTGACCATTAAGTCTAGTCGCGGATGATTCTGGGGTTGCATGCTCATCTCACTCTATCAGCTGAGGGAGCCGGCTTTTGTCTGCAGACAGCTTCCGGGTCATGTGGCCACCCTGACTAAGCCACTTCTGGCAAAACCAGAGCAGCACATGGAAATGCTGTTTACCTTCCCACTGGAGCGGTACCTCTTTATCTACTTGCACTGTCTGGGAAAGATACCCCAGAGAGCCTAGCAGTGTACAGGCCACACTGAGCTTGCCAGATCCATGGCATGACTCAGTAGGAGGCAGCTACCTATGCGCATAGACATCTCTCCTTCGTATGTGCATTTCCACCTGGTGGACTGAGGCATGCGCATACACACAGAAGACACCCACACGTAATGATCAGTGTGCGGCTGGTGCATAGCCTCCCGCACGCAGAGTTTTGTTCTGCTTAGAGTGACCCTTGTGAGAGGGGATGGGAGAGAGCTCAGTGGGAAGGTGCATGAAGAACATTCCCAGGTTCTCCAGGTAGACCTGAGAAAGATGGACAGCACCCCCCAAAAAAAATCTGCTTCCAGTCATTCTGTGCTAAATTGGGCAGTATGGCACCAGGCAGCCGCCTCTTTTATTTTGCTGGACTGCACTCAGAAGGCTCAAATTCTGCTGTAGTTCTTCCAAAGCGGTGACTTTACTCTGTCTGGTCCAGACAACTGTAGCTTGGAGATCTGTGCCTTCCTGGGACACTCAGCTGAATACTGGATTACACAATGGACAGACATGCGTAAGGCTCCAGAAAAGCAGGGGCACCGCCAAAAGAGAGAGGGGTTTGGGGTTTTTTTGGGGGGGAAAGAATTTGACATTTGATATTTCAGGGAAAGCATCAAAGTAGTAATCATGGGGGAAATCAGGACTTCGTTAGGCTTCTTACACCCCAGTACATACTCTTCCCTGATTCTCCAGGTAATGTGGAGCAGTGGTTAGAGTGTTGGACTACAACCTGGGAGACCAGGGTTCAAATCCTCACTCAGCCATGATGCTCGTCGGGAGACATTGGACCAGTCACTGCCTCTCAACCTAACCTACCTCACAGGGGGAGAACAATGCAAACCAACCTGAGCTCCTGGGATAGAAATGTAATAAAATGGCATATTTCTGTTCTCTTTTTATTACTTAACCCCACCTAAACCAGGGGCTCATCCTGCTGACGCAGATCAAAATAATGCAAGGGAATCAGATCTTGACGTGTGTTGCAATCTATCAATTTTATATTTCTTATTTTAAAAAACAGTTTGTGGTTTAGTATTGTTCTTTTTTTAAAAAAAAAAAAATCACATCTTTTTTGGGTGTATGTGTGTGTGCTTAGGGCCTCTAAAGGTCTCCATTATCCAGCCCTGCCCTGAGGCACTGCCAAGCAGGTGTGCAGCAGGTTACCTGCACGACTTGGCAAAAGGAGATCACGTCCTCTGCCTCCACCATCGCTGCTCCCCCAACTTTGCTGGGCGAGACTGGTCCAGAGATACGACGGGTGATGCCACAGCAGCCGGGAGAGAAGAGGGGAAGGAGAAAGCAGCAGACAAATGCCCCCCCCCCGCGCCCCGTTCCCCCTCCCACCCCCCACAGGTGTTTCACGCTTTGATCGAAGCCTCTCTCCTCCGATTCTCCTCTCTCCAACAGCAAGCCAGACAGGTCTGCGTTGGAACGAGTATCTCGCCCGCCCCAGTGGCTGGACCTGCCTTCCCTCCTGATGACTAGCAAAAGCAAGTCTGCTCTCTCTCCCCCGCCAGCTCCCTTCCTCCACTCCCACTTAGGTTAGAAACCTCGGAGTGTGTGTGTGTTGCGCTTCTTGGCATAACCCGCTCCCCTTCCCCACCCCCTCTCCAAGTTGGATTTTTCTTCCGCATCACATCCAGATCGCTGCTGAAGCCTCAGCTCCTCAGAGCCGTGGGGGGAAAGGCAGCCTGCGAGAAAGAGAGGAAGGAGAGAGAGAGGGAGTTCTCTCTTTTAGGTCGGCTTTGTCTCGCTCAACTCCCTTCTCAGGGACGTCATGCCTGGGCAACGGCGCTGCTGAAAAGCAAAGACCACCCATCCCCAAAGACCTGCGTTCCAGGAAAGAAGACGTGTTCCCCAAGGTAAGCGGGAAGGTGTCCTTTGCAGTTAACCTGCTGTTGGGTTCTTTTTTGCTTGGGGTTCGGGGGACCGGAGTTGATGCAGCTTTCGCAACAAAACCGTGCATGATGCTTCCTCCCAGATAATTGCTTTTAAGAAAAGTCTCCCTCCCCCTTTTCAGCCCTACAGCCTTGCATTCTGCGATCATTCACCTGCTAGCGTTGCGAGGTGCACTTCGATGGATTATTCCCTGCATGCACGGAAAAGGGGGGGGCGGCGGGTGTCTTGCCCGTCTGCAGCCTCTTTCTTTGTGCAAAGGGGCGTGCGGCGGCGGCGGCGGCGGCGGCTGTCTTAAATCCAGCTGCAAGTCCCTTTCAAAGTCTCCCTGGCAGACCTCCTTCTTCAAGCGGGTTCGAAAGGCGTGATGTGATTAGCACGCATGCAGCGCCTTTGCAGGGCTGCTGCATTCCTTCCTCACGCCAAAATAATCTTGCCCCCTGTGCCAGAAATCTGGGTTATCGCGATTAACCCTGTGTCGTCTCCTCCCTACCCTCTCTGCACCTCCAGAGCTTCGCTGCTCCCACCTTGCTGCATCCAGCATGGACCCCCTCCTCCACATCCAAGCGGAGGATGTCTACTATATGAGGAAGCTGGTCAACGACTCGTCCCTCTGGAACCTCAGCTTGGGCGAGTGGTTCCACAATGGGACAGCAGATGGCTTCCTGCCCATGGGCATCAAGGTCACAATTGTCATCGTCTACTCCATCGTCTGCATCGTGGGGCTGGTGGGGAACTGCTCCGTCATGTATGTGATCATCAGGTAAGCCAAGCATGCAGGTGGGTTAACCCAGGAATGCGCAGCCTTCTGTGCAGAGAAAGGCTCTCTTTGACAGAGAGATCATCACCGCTTACCTTTGAGGATCTCTTCTCTGGCCTTCAAGAAACGGCAATAAAGGCAAGGGTTTCTCTGAGCATGTGCTAGATTCCTTTCTCTCGCTGTCTCCTAGCAGAGAATGGAGGTTTTTCTAGGCCATCAACTTGAAGCAGTCGCTTTTATGAGGTGTGTGCAGACTGTTCAGAACCCACCCAGTAGCATCGCCTTGTTCTAATCCTTGCAGCAACCCTGCAAAGTAGGCCAGCGTTATTAAATCCATATTGCAAATGGAGACTGACTGCATGAGAGAAGGGTGGCTTGCTGAAGCAAAGCCTCATAAGCAAATGGGTTCTTCATTTATTAGGGTGCTTGCCGTGGATTTGAACTGAGGACTAAGTCACAAGTGGCTTAGATCTGCAAAACAGGGCAGAAGGTCGAGGCAGGTTGGAGTAACTTTCTGGAAGGCCAATTTGTCTGCATTGGAATGGCTTGGAATGATCCAATCTGGGGTCCCCAATGGTGTGATCATTGTGGGGAGATGGGGTGCTTTGTTTGAACATGGGAAACTCGGGTACCAATCCCTGCTTAGGCATGTGCATCATAGGCTGGCCCTGGATATGATAGTGTTGTCTCAGGGCTCAACCACACTTCCGCTTGCTCCAGAACCTGCCCCCCAGGAAAACTCCCTGTTTACTGCTGGATCAGAGCAAACACCCACCAGGTTTTCTCTGGATTGATGCTTGCTCTCATTTAATACTAAAGAGTGGGATTTCTAGGGGGTGGGTGGGGAACACAGTGGGGCAAAGGCAAAACCACTCGGACTCATGCCTAGAAAACCCAAGACAAGTGGAAAACTGCTTGGACCCATGTTTTCACATTGCCATCACTGCTACAATCATATACAAGAGAATGAACTTGGATTTGCTTTCTTATTCCATGTACACGGCTGCATTTTCAAATACTCTTGTTGCTATTTTCAATTATATATTTTTAAGTACTATCAACATATGGTCACCCTCATGTAACAGGTTAGTTTTTTCCCCTTAATAATGATATGTTGCCACAACAGTGCACAGCCCATTACAAAAACCTTTAGGAAGAAAATTCTTAAATTAATTCCAGAACTGGAGTTTGCTGCAGGTGTCCATTCCATCATTTCAATTGCATCAAATTTTCATTACTGATGCAGTCATAAAACACTGCAAAAAAGAAAAGAAAAGGAACTCTTGATGCAACTATTCACACCGTTGCCTCAAAATTCTTGCTGTGGGGTGTTTGATATATATACAATGATGTCCTGTGCATGGGTAAAACACAGAGTGCAAAATGGAACATGATGCAAAGATATATACGCAGTCAGTTCAAGACTGGGTTTTCTGTGGGGTGTTGGTGGTTGACAGTGGTTTTTTTTTCCATGTTGAGGACAGGGGAAGCATAAATGTACCGAAGGAACTGAAAATGCATTCTTTATTTGAGTTTTTTAATCACTGTTTATATGCCACCTGATTAAAAAATGGTCTCTGGGCAGCTTGCAAACCATAAAACATTACAATTCTAGATAACCCCAGTACAATAAAATAGTACGCAAATCCAGGGGAAACATTAAACGTAAACATTTTACAGCAAGGCGTAAGACGGTATAGAGAAATGCACAGCATCTTCGAAAGCAGGCACCAGATCTAAACGTCTGTGGATTTACAGGTTCACAATCCAAAAAGGCCACAAAGAAGGTGGCAGGAGACACTCTTTGGGGAGGGCATCCTATAACCGAGGGGCCACCACTTAGGAGCCCTTTCTCCTGTAGACACCTGTTGTACCTCACTTGGTGGGGAGCCTGGAAAAGGGCCTTTGAAGTTAATCTCAGGATCCAGACAGCTACTTGTGGGAGGAGATGATCCTTCAGGTCACCTGGTCCCAAGTCATTTAGGGCTTTCCTTTGAATTAGGCCCAGAAGTGTGCTGGACGTCAGTGTGTATGTAAGTCATAGAATCAAAGAACTGAAGAGTTGGAAGGGACCATGAGGGTCTTCGAGTTTGACCTCCTGCAATGCAGGGATCTTTTGCCCAACGTGGGGCTCAACCCCACGACCCCACGACCCCACGACCCTGAGATTAAGAGTCTCATGGTCTGCTGACTGAGCTTTCTCAACAGAGTTACGAAGACAAGTTCAAAGTGTTACTGTTAGCAAAGAAAGTGCATAACCACTTCAGACCAGCTTGTTTGAAGGATCTCAACCACTTTTATCTGTGGAAGTGGCACTGTTTCAGGTGTTACTCTAGAACTCCCTGCTTATTGAATCAGGTGCGTGTACTCATTATACACTTTTCAGCACCTGCTGAAAAGGTTTTTGTTTAGGTAAGCCCATGGGTAGGCAAACTAAGGCCCGGGGGCCGGATCTGGCCCAATCACCTTCAAAATCCGGCCTGCAGACGGTCCAGGAATCAGCGTGTTTTTACATGAGTAGAATGTGTGCTTCTATTTAAAATGCATCTCTGGGTTATTTGTGGGGCATAGGAATTTGTTCATTCCCCCCTCCCCCCCCAAAAAAATATGGTCTGCCCCCCCACAAGGTCTGAGGGACAGTGGACTGGCCCCCTGCAGAAAAAGTTTGATGACCCCTGGGTAAGCCTATATAATCATGTAGAAGTTGAGATTAAAACACTTAAAAAATAAGAATACCTGTTGTTGACTTTAATTATCTTTTGGATGATTTAAAAATACCTAATAAAACAAATTCCTTCCAGTAGCACCTTAGAGACCAACTAAGTTTGTTATTGGTATGAGCTTTCGTGTGCACATGAAAGCTCATACCAATAACAAACTTAGTTGGTCTCTAAGGTGCTACTGGAAGGAATTTCTTTTATTTTGTTTCGACTACAGCAGACCAACACGGCTACCTTCATGTATTTAAAACTGTTTTTAAACTGTGTTTTATTGATCATTTAATTTTTTTTATTTTGGTAAACTGCTTAGGAGTTTCATTACAATCCAGTAGTACATAAATTCTGTAAAATAATAATACGATCATGTCATCCATACCTTATTTACAGTTTTTCCCTTCCTATTTTAGGCTAACTGGATTTTCCAATTCAGTGTTCAGTTTTTCTACACCTTGTGGAATTAGAATTTCATGAGTAGGAAAGGAAGCTGCATCTGCCCCACTGCCGCCCAGCTGACAGAGAAGAAGTAGGAAATAGAAGCACAGGCTCTGAGTGGTAGGGATGCCATATGTCTAGATTTTTTTTTGCGTTTTGAGGTATTCCTGGGGGGGAAAAAAGCTCAACAATTTTTTGAAATATATATGGCAACTCTACTGAGAGGTCCTGGGTCACCTGCAAATGGACTCAACCCTAACTTAAATTCAGTCCACTAGGGCCACAACCATTGGGCAGTTACGTTAGATGATTAAAATCATAGAATCATAGAATTTTAGAGTTGGACGAGAACTCAAATGTCATCTTGAAAGACATACATTGGCTCCCAGTACGTTTCCGAGCACAGTTCAAAGTGTTGGTGCTGACCTTTAAAGCCCTAAACGGCCTTGGCCCAGTATACCTGAAGGAGCGTCTCCAACCCCATCGTTCTGCCCGGACGCTGAGGTCCAGCGCCGAGGGACTTCTGGCGGTTCCCTCATTGCAAGAAGCAAAGCTACAGGGAACCAGGCAGAGGGCCTTCTTGGTAGTGGCGCCCACCCTGTGGAACGCCCTCCCATCAGATGTCAAAGCGATAAACAACTACATGACATTCAGAAGACATCTTAAGGCAGCCCTGTTCAGGGAAGTTTTTAATGTGTGACTTTTTAGTGTATTTTTGGTCTCTGTGGAAGCCGCCCAGAGTGGCTGGGAAAATCCAGCCAGATGGGCGGGGTACAAATAATAATAATAAATAATAATAATAATAGTAATAATAATAATAATAATAATAATAATCTGGTCTAACCCCCTGCAATGCGAGAATCACAGCTGAAGAATCCTTAACAGAAGGCCACCCAACCTTCAGTGAAGGAGAGTCCACCAAGGGAGTCTATTCCATTGGTTCTTACCAGAAAAAAAGTTCTTCCTAATATTTAGTTGGAATCTCCTTTCTTGCAATTTGAATCCATTAGTTTGGGTCCCGCCCTCTGGAGCAGCAGAAAACATACTTGTTCCATCTTCTTCATGGTTTGGAACCAGGTGCAATCAACATGCATGGACTCTCCTTAGCTAGAGCAGATCTTCTCCTCAGTTGTGTGGATGCTGGTGGGACTGGGGAACAGGAACGTATCAGAGGGGGGCGTGAGCTGACCAGGCCATCCTAGGGACGTGTATGTCTGTCAACACTGGTTTCCTCTCCGGGATGCGGGTGGCGCTATGGTCTAAACCACTGAGCCTCTTGGGCTTGCTGATCAGAAGGTTGGCGGTTCGAATCCCCATGACAGGGTGAGCTCCTATTGCTCTGTCCCAGCTCCTGCTAACCTAGCAGTTCGAAAGCATGTCAAAGTACAAGTATATAAATAGGTACCGCTGTGGTGGGAAGGTAAACGGTGTTTCCGTGCGCTCCGGCACTCGTCACGGTCCTCCGTGCGCCAGTAGTGGTTTAGTCCTCCTGGCCACATGACCCGGAAAACTGTCTGTGGACAAACGCCGGCTCCTTTGGCCTGAACGTGAGATGAGCGCCGCAACCCCAGAGTCGCCTTTGACTGGACTTAACCATCCAGGGTTCTTTTACCTTTGCCTTTACCTCTCTCAGTTTCTCCTTTTTCCAATTAAATTCGGTTCTCCACATTTCTGCATCAGTTTGTGATCATTATTTTTCAAACGCTTTTCTTGCAAAGCGGCTGATTAGGTTATTGATAATTTATCATGTATTTACAGTGGTACCTCGGGTTAAGTACTTAATTTGTTCCAGAGGCCCGTTCTTAACCTGAAACTGTTCTTAACCTGAAGCACCACTTTAGCTAATGGGGCCTCCTGCTGCTGCCGCGCCGCTGCTGCATGATTTCTGTTCTCATCCTGAAGCAAAGTTCTTAACCCAAGGTATTATTTCTGGGTTAACCTGAAGCGTATGTAACTCGAGGTACCACTGTATTTACTTGTCGAAATTCTCATTGCTGTTTTATGACGGCCAAGGAATGGCAGAGTTGTCCTCTGAAGACCCTTTGCTGGAGAGTGCTGATGGGGAGAAAGCTGTTGTGTTCAGGTCTTTTTTGTGCATTTCCCACAGATACCAGGTTGGCCACTGTGAGAACACGGTGCTGGGCCAGGTGGCCCATTGGCCTGATGTAGCTGGAATTGTCTTCTAAGGCGGGGGGGGGGGGTGGTTCTATAGGCATTGGAGAGGACAGTTGAGAAGTGATTTATAGAAAGAGGATTAGCACTTAAGACAGTGTTCCACTGTCAAACGTCTCTTACCGTCAGAAAGTTCCTCCAGATGTTTAGTCGGAAAACCTTTCTTGTAACTTGAAACCATTGGTTTGGGTTCTAACCTTTGGAGCAGGAGAAACGAGCTTGCTCCATCTTCCATGTGACAGCCTTCTACATATTGGAAGATGGCTGCCATATCTCTTCTCCATCTCGTCTTTTCAAATGCTATTTTTTAAAAATTAAAGCTTTAAAAAAATGTAACAAAAAGTGATATACAAGAGTTAACATAAAAACTGAAAGAAAGAAAAGAAAGAAAAGAAAAAGAAAATACTTCCAATTGTCTGTCTATCAGCTTTCTGGACTTATGCAAACTCTGTTATGCAAACAGCGTGGTGTAGTGGTTAAGAGCGGTAGTCTTGTAATCTGGGGAACTGGGTTCGCGTCTCCACTCCTCCACATGCAGCTGCTGGGTGACCTTGGGCCAGTCATACTTCTTTGAAGTCTCTCAGCCCCACTCACCTCACAGAGTGTTTGTTGTGGGGGAGGAAGGGAAAGGAGATTGTGAGCCGCTTTGAGACTCCTTAAAGGGAGTGAAAGGTGGGATATCAAATCCAAACTCTTCTTCTTCTTCTTCTTCTTCTTTTCAGTCTTCAAACCCAGATATCACAAGCTCATTATCCTTTTTTTGCACAAAAAGTCCATAAGCGATTTCCAATCATTAATAAAAGTCAACAATGATTTTTCTCTAATTAAACACATCAATTTTGCTATCTCAGCCAAATCCATTAATTTCAAGAACCATTCTTCCACAGTAGTTATCAGATCTCCTCTCAGTCTCCTCTTTTCCAGCCTAAACAGACCCAGCTCCTTCAACCATTCCTCCTAAGTCTTGGTTTCCAGACCTTTGATCATCTTGGTTGCCCTCCTCCGCACACGTTCCAGCTTTTCAACATCCTTCTTAAATTGTGGTCCACAGAACTGGACACAGTATTCCAGGTGTGGTCTGACCAAGACAGAATAGAGTGGTACTGTTACTTCCCTTGATCTTGAATACTATACTGCTGTTGATGCAGCCTAGAATAGCATTACAGTGGTACCTCGGGTTACATACGCTTCAGGTTACATACGCTTCAGGTTACAGACTCCGCTAACCCAGAAATAGTGCTTCAGGTTAAGAACTTTGCTTTAGGATGAGAACAGAAATTGGGTTTTGGCGGCACAGCAGCAGCAGGAGGCCCCATTAGCTAAAGTGGTGCTTCAGGTTAAGAACAGTTTCAGGTTAAGTATGGACCTCCAGAATGAATTAAGTACTTAACCCGACGTACCACTGTAGCTTCTTTTTGCTCCTGCATCACATTGTTGACTCGTGTTCAGCTTGTGGTCCACCAAGACCCCATGATCCTTTTCACATGTACTGCTAGTAAGCCTGGTGTCTTATATTTTTGCAGAACCTTACACTCGTCCCTATTGAAATTAATTTTGTTAGCTTGGGCCCAGTTCTCCAATCTGTTAAACTCGTCTTAAATCCCAATTCTATCTTCTGTGGCATTAGCTACCACACACAGTTTGGTGTCCTGAGGTCACCCAGTGATCTTCATGGCCAAATTGGGTTTTGAACTCTGGTGTCCCATGTTGTCGTCCGACGCTCTAACCACTATCTATGCTAAACCAGTTCACTGCAGCGTTGGGTTCCATCAGTTCATTTGTGTCTTTCCTCCTCTCCTATCTTACCACCGTGCTTGCGTGCACTGACAAAACACTGCAAGAAAGGCAACCTTTGGTGCAATCAGTTGAATGAGTGATTACTAGGTCTGTGCACAGCTCCACTCCATCCATGCCATAGCCTCAATATGGTGCTCCTGAATCCGGCTAACTTTCTCTGGGACCACCCAGGGACCCCCTGACCCACCCTAGATTCAGCCCCAAAGCCATTTGGGAAGGGGGTATTTTAGAGTTTTATAAAATAAAATAAAATAAAATAAAATAAAATAAAATAAAATAAAATAAAATAAAATAAAATAAAATAAAATAAAATAAAATAAAATAAAATAAAATAAAATAAAAAATAAAACAAAACAACACAAAACCCATGTGGAACCCTAATCCTGCAGAAAGCCATCTAATTAGATTTTAATTTGATCCTGATTTGTTTTTAGGAGGTAATTTAATTATTGTTTCATTTTATACCAATGTTATAGATTTGATGTTAGCCGCCCTGAGCCCGGTTTCAGCTGGGGAGGGCAGGATACAATAAAATTTTATTATTATTATTATTATTATTGTTATTATTATTATTATTATTAATTATTATTATTATTAAAATAAAATAAACATACAATCAGGACGAGTGAAGGAGACATTGCAAAATGTATTTGAAGGCAAATTGGCTGCAAGAGAAAAGTGCATTCAAATGCCGGCATATTTTTGAGAGGATTTTTTCACCTTTCCAATCTCAAACTGATGCCGAGATGTAGGGAACTGAATATAAGATGGAGAAAATGCGAAACTGAAACTGACAGTTCTGCCCATTCCTTCATATTAGTTCTTCTTCTTCTTCTTTGGCTAAGAAGATGTCTATTTTTAATAGCCCAGTCAATCATCCGCACAATTCATACTTCTGAGAAGTAATTAAATGGAAGCACTCAGGGAGTCTTGATCCCTGCTCACTACCTGTTAATCTTCCTTTGGTAGCAGGCAGTTCTTCCAGTATTCTGTCTTTCCTTCTTCTCATCATTTAGCCTCCTTGGGGGGGGGGGTTCTTAAAAATAAAAAAAATATCCTGAGACTTGTCTGTAGTTATGCACTGTGGGGGGTTACATTCTCCAGGAACCTTACATGCTTTCTTAAACCGAGAGGGTAAATTTCAGATGTGTGTATGTGTGTGTGCATTTTATCTCCTAAACAACCCGTCCAGCCATTCGTCTGCATTTCCAAATCTGTTGGCTTCGTTCTCTTCTCCCTGCCTTCCATTTAATATCCTTATTTGAGAGCAGCAATAAAAGCAGCTCGCTGGCTGATGAATGCTCCTGCTGAGTAGCATTGCTCAAAATTATTCTGCAATGACGTGCTGGGTAGCTGTGTGATTGTTTGCGTCTCTCTCGCCACTCGCCTTTCTCAGCCCTGCGTGCGTTTAGAATCAAACGGAACACATTTGTGAAAGGTTTTCTCGCTTCGCCCTCCGTGGAGATACTTAGGCTCATGTACGCCTGTTCCAACTTGAAGCACACCAGACTGAAAAACAATAGGGTAGCTTTAAATATCCAATGAGGGTCTCTCTAAGGTTTCTTCAGAGAACGGCAGTACCGCCAAGGCTTGTTGGACCTCTGTGCTAACCCTCCACACTAATTTCCCTGAATTTGCCAGGGCAAAGAAGAGGGACTGCAGCAGGGAGGATTGAAAAAGAGAGCAATGAGCCCCATCTTTAGAGCCTGGGTGCAATGGGAAGTGTGAGAAATGGAGTTTCCCATGCCTCCCAACCATAACTGTCAACTTTCCCCTTTTTTTAAGGGAAACTCCCTTATTCCAAATAGGATTCCTCGCAAGAAAAGGGAAAAGTTGACAGCTATGCTCCCAACAGAGGCGGATTTAGGGCAGCATGTCTGGATCCGTCGCACTGGGCATCAATTCTTTGGGGGCGCTGCAGGGTGTCGTAACTATGACATAGTGAATTGAATTGAACAGAAGGCGAGAGCCGGGGTGACTGTGATCAGATTCTGGCCAGGGTGCCACTGAAATTTGAAAGACCAAAATCCTCCCCTGTTCCCAACCCTTTCATTGCAAAGTTCATTTATTTATTTTTTGCCTGCCCTTCACCCTAAGGTCCCAAGGTGGATTACAACATTAGAGCACAATACAGTGGTACCTCGGTTCTCAAACGCCTTGGTGCTCAAACAACTTGGAACCCAAACACTGCAAAACCGGAAGTAAGTGTTCCAGTTTGCGAACTTTTTTCAGAAGCTGAACATGCTCCGTTTTGAGTGTTACGCTTCCGATTTGAGTGCCCCACTTCTGTTTTGAGTGTTACGCTGAGGTCTGTCAGTTTTTGCTATTTACTTTGCTTTTCTTGCGGCTTTTTTTGTTTTGTTTTTGTGATTCTGTGGAACCCAGTTTAGCTACTGGTTGATTGATTGTGTGACTGCAGTACGTTGTTTATTGCTTTCATTTTATGGATCAATGTTCTCGTTAGATAGTAAAATTCATGTTAAATTGCTGGAATGGATTAATCCCCTTTGCATTACTTTCTATGGGAAAGCGCGCCTTGGTTTTGGAACGCTTTGGTTTTGGAATGGACTTCTGGAACAGATTAAGTTTGAGAACCAAGGCACCACTGTATTGAAACAGTTGAAAACTGTTGAATGTTAGAATGAATGTTAGAATGTTAGAATGATGTTGGATAGAAATTAAGTGGTTTCCAGCTGTAATGCTTTAAGGGAATATGAAAAATGGGTTGTTAATAGGTAAAAATCTAATGTTACTATTTTAAGACCAAAGATTAGGATAAACAAAGAGGGTAAGGATTTGCTGAACCAACAAATTGAACTGGAATACAACAAAGGGAGGTATGAGGAGGTCCGGGAAACAAGCTAAGGAAAAATAAGTAATGGAAAAATTGAGTGGTTTTTAATCATTTTTATTTTGTATTTTGTATTTTTTCTTTTTTGTCATTTTTATATTGTAACATTTGGAAAATCTCAATAAATATCTTATAAAAAAAAAGAAAACAACCTAACAATCACAAAAGCAGGGTGGGACCTATAAATATGTATCTACCCCACTGGGGTATCTCACTGAAATCTCACCAGAACCACTGTCTCCACTGCTTCATGGGCCCCACCACATGACACAGGCAAGGGAAGCATCCATTGGGATGAGGGTAAAGGTAAAGGTAAAGGTAAAGGGACCCCTGACCATTAGGTCCACTTGTGGCCGACTCTGGGGTTGTGGCGCTCATCTCGCTTTATTGGCTGAGGGAGCCGGCGTACAGCTTCCGGGTCCTGTAGCCAGCATGACTAAGCCACTTCTGGCAAACTAGAGCAGCGCATGGTAACGCCATTTACCTCCCCGCCAGAGTGGTACCTATTTATCTACTTGCTCTTTGACGTGCTTTCAAACTGCTAGGTGGGCAGGAGCAGGGACCGAGCAACGGGAGCTCACCCAGTTGCAGGGATTCGAACCGCCGACCTTCTGATCGGCAAGTCCTAGGCTCTGTGGTTTAACCCACCTTTCTATTTCATCTCAGGTGGCAAACTGGGACCTGCTGCCCCTGGTGTGGGGTTTCTGGTCTACAAAGTATTTAGTGTAATCATGATTGTGTTCATGCCCCACCAAGGCAGCAGAGAACACTGGGTCATGGCCTCGTTTCTCTTTAGGAAGAATGGTGTTCTTGCCTCCATATTAACTGACCTCCAAGGAAAACAGGCAGCGGAGGAGGGAAGTGGGCAGCAGGAAAACAGAGACAAATGAAGTTAATATTCTTCCAATAATCTGATCTCTAATGATGACCAAAAAGAAATTCGCTGCACATAGGAGGGATAAAATTAAATTAAATTTGAGTGCAAGGCAGGGCAAATACATTATCAGAAGCCCATCAAAGCGCTCCCATGCCTTTCATTTTTCTTTGGATCTCACTCTTTATGCACAGACACATAGTTGCAACAGGCAACTGGAGCAAGTCAAATGCAAATGTAATTAGCACTGAGTCGATGTCTTTGTGCAGAGTAATCAAAAGCCATGCTATATATAGGAGTATCGACAGGGCAGTGAAGCACACATCCACAAGTCAGGGAAGAGGCAAACTCCTTCTGCAAAAGATGTCCAACTGTGGATTCAGGTGGGAACGCCAGATTTAGGGTGGTACAGGCAGTTTCCCCACTCAGGGTGCCGAGCCAAGGGGGTGCAAAATTGAGCAGATCTATTCTCAAACGCACAACATGTGTTGGAACATTCTTAATGCAGCCTAAGCAGATTCTTCTAACCAGTGCTTTTTTTTTCTAAAAAAAAATGTTTAGGGGTATTCTCATTTTGACTCAAGAAAATCACCATTTTATAGTTCAAATCGGGAAAAATAAATACAGTAACTGGACAAAAGTACAAAGATTCACAAAATGTTTGAGGGTATGTGTACCCCTGTATCCCCCCCCCCCAGAAAAAGCACGGCTTCTAACAATATCCTTTCACATTTATATTCAGTTTTTACATCTCTTCGCATTTCTAGCTATCAAAGCATATACTATAATTTCTACTGCATGAGCCACTTTTTGCTGTTGGTGGTGTTATGTATTTTTTGTTTCTATACTGTAAACCACCCTGTGGTCTTCAGATGAGGGGCTGTACATACATTTAATAAAAAATAATAAAACTACTCAGCAATTGTCTTAAAACTTCACAATCTCCTTCACCACGGGGGGGGGGGGGGAATCCCTTCCATCCCGCTTTGCAATTTAGAGAGAGCTGCCTTATGACACCCAAACCGATGTTGAGACATGGTCAAACCATTTAGCTCTGTGAGCCATTACAGGTCAGCCTATCCAGCTTTCAAATATGTGTTGACGGCTGGTGATAAAACGAGAGAATCCTAGATTAGCTTGCCCATATCTGGACGGACTGGTGCAAAAAGCCTCGCTTGTTTATTTAGATCAAGCACAGACAACATGTTCTGCAATGAACGGCGCATCTAAAGAATATCAGAAGCAAGAGAGCCTGTGCTAATTGGCATATTTTAGTTGCATGCAATTGGTTGGACGGTGTTCTCGAAGCTACCAGCATGAGTTTGACCAAAGTGCGGGAGGCAGTGGAAGACAGAAGTGCCTGCCGTGCTCTGGTCCAAGGGGTCACGAAGAGTCGGACACGACTAAACGACTAAACAGCAACAACAAGTTGCATGTAATCAACACAATTTGTATATCGGTTACATGGATAGGGTGACAGATGCTGGATAAAGTTGGACTTCTCAGTTCTTGGCCTCTGGGATTTTGCTGCAACAAGATTCAGTGCTGGTGCAGTGATTCTCATTTTTTTATTTTGCTGTCTGGTCACAGGGCTTACATGCAAAAGATGATGCAGAAGATGGCATTTCAGCAGGTGCAGGTTGTTATGAAACAACACTTGCTGAAATCCTTTTCTTCCACACAATGCTGACTTTTCCACACATACTCTGGCTTCGTGTCACACTTATACAGAGGCTATGCAAATGTCAGCATAATCAAGGATAATTATGCATCCTCATCATTAAGAGAGCAGTGGTGGGGAGTTCAGGTGCATGGCCTGGATCCCCAGTGAGCCATGCCATCAATGGGTCACCCCACTGAGCTGCCTTCTGCTGTGGGCAGGCAGTCTGTGTGCCTGCTCACCTGGCAGCGGCGATGTGGTAGTTTGGCAATACCACTGATTCCAGCCCCAGGCAGCGTGCCTGACCTTACTGGCCCAACTGCTTCAAATATGCCGGACCTGATATACACAGGGCTGGAGTAATTAGGAACCTAGGTGTCCATTAGGAACATGGGGTACACCTAGCTCAGTCGTCAAGGAGCTGTCAGGCAAGCACAGGCCATCCACAGGGCAGGAAAGAACACGAGGCACAAAAAGCAGTTAGCTTCTATTCACAGAAAGTAACGACACAGCAGAGTTCCTCTGGCTCATCTTATTCAACTGGAGACATTGCTGAGACTGATCACTGGGCCTTTCTTCCCCTCCTAGGCTCTCACTCTGGATCCATCCCAAGCAGAAAATTCTGCCTCGGGGGGGGGGGGGCTCCTCCTCTGGGCCTGTCTGGCCCATTGCTCAGCAACGTGCAGGACTCTCCTTGAGCAAAGTGTCAAAGGGCGAGGAAAACCAGCAGGACTGGGACTCTGAGAGCCAGCGTGGTGCAGTGATTAAGAGCGGTAGTCTCGTAATCTGGTGAACTGGGTTCGCTTCCCTGCTCCTCCACATGCAGCTGCTGGGTGACCTTGGGCTGGTCACACTTCTCTGAAGTCTCTTAGCCCCACTCACCTCACAGAGTGTTTGTTGTGGGGGAGGAAGGGAAAGGAGAATGTTAGCCGCTTTGAGACTCCTTTGGGTAGTGATAAAGCGACATATCAAATCCAAACTTCTCCTCCTCCTCCTCCTCCTCCTCTTCTGCTGGGTAGCAATGGCAACCTCTGACTCCTCTCTGTCTGAGTCTGCACTCACACTGTGACTCTTTGCCTCTACACCTGTCCTGGAAGGGCCTCCTTCACCTGACCCACCTTGATCGCTCAACCCCCCAGCTTCTATTACCTCCCTGCTAATCCTTTCCCCAGACTGCTCCCCAGTGTCCCACTGTCAGGAATGAGCCAGTTCTAAGCGAAGGTTTGAAGCCAACTGCAGAAAGCAGCCAGGAACAGAGAAGCTTAGATGTTATAGTCAGGCAAGGGATAGCCGGCAGCTGCAGACTTCGGCTCTTCCTAACCTTGACGGGCAGACTGATAAGGCAGGAGCTGAGAGCAGGCTAGAACACAGAAGAAGCTCACAGGAAGCACAAAAAGGCACAAATAGCCTCTCAGAGGAGTTTGAGGTTGGAGTTGACCCACTAAGTCCGAAGAGTCAGTGAATGGGAGGGCTGCTAGATAGGAAGCAAAACAAGAGATGTAAGAGTCGTAAGTTCAATATCTTCTGTGGACACCGGAAGGAGTCTTCAGAAGGGTCATCTTGAGTAATGATGCTGGAGGCTTTGTCGGAGCCATCTGGAGCTATCTGTTTGTTTTTGCAATAAATCCGCCTTCTAATTACCTACGCTTACTGTTTCATGAAGCTGGGAACCTGGACCCCTGACACCCACCACCACGACTCGGGGTCTAAGCCATCATCTTCTGTGTCATCTGTGGGGGGCTCTTGGGAAGGCGTTACCCAGTACTCTTCCTCATCCAGCCAGTCCCTAACATCAGTATTGCCTACCCTGATTGGCAGAAGCTCTCCAGGGTTTCTGGCAGAGCTTGTTCCTCACTTGACCTGGGGGTGCTGGGGATTGAACCCGGGACCTGCTGCATGCAAAGCAGATGCTGCACCACTGAGGTATGGCTTTCCCCCAAAATAAAATGGCAAAGCCAGCTGGTTTAGGCATGGAGCCTGCAGCTCCAGTCATAGAATCATAGAATAGAATCATAGAATCATAGAGTTGGAAGAGACCACAAGGGCCATCGAGTCCAACCCCCTGCCAAGCAGGAAACACCATCAGAGCACTCCTGACATATGGTTGTCAAGCCTCTGCTTAAAGACTTCCAAAGAAGGAGACTCCACCGCAAATTCCACTGTCGAACAGCTCTTACTGTCAGGAAGTTCTTCCTAATGTTTAGGTGGAATCTTCTTTCTTGTAGTTTGGATCCATTGCTCCGTGTCCGCTTCTCTGGAGCAGCAGAAAACAACCTTTCTCCCTCCTCTATGTGACATCCTTTTATATATTTGAACATGGCTATCATATCACCCCTTAACCTCCTCTTCTCCAGGCTAAACATGCCCAGCTCTCTTAGCCGTTCCTCATAAGGCATCGTTTCCAGGCCTTTGACCATTTTGGTTGCCCTCCTCTGGACACGTTCCAGTTTGTCAATGTCTTTTAAAATTGTCCCTGTTGGCTATTGCTTTAGCAGCAGCAATGGGACCCAATGGTGGAGGATTTGGTTCTGGCAGCAGGGGGGCACTTCCTGCAGTCTTCGTACGTCATGCGGTGGCGGCAGACCTGCCATGGTGACTCAGCCCAGTTGGCTCAACTCTGCCACACGAAATCTTCTTAATTGGAGTTGCTGGGGATTGGATTTGGAACCTTCTACGTGCAAAACATGTCCTCTGTCACTGAACTATATACATGCTCTTTTCTCTGGACCAACACATCTACCGAGCAAGTTTTTTTGCCTGATGACTCATGCAGTCCTCTGTGCTTAAATATATGGATGCAGTGATTGGCCCTTATTCTGGAGTCAATGAGCCCTTTCCCTTCACACATACACACACCCGGAAATATTTTTAGCTGTTTTCCCCAACAATAGTAAAGATTAACTTAATAGTAAATAACTGGCTGTGTGCTTGTATTATTTTAGCAACATGCACACCTAGATTCATCTGGTAGCTGCACGCCTAAACCGCCATCAGGAAGCTGAAGAGGAACGAGAGCATTTGCGATCGTAGACAGGACAGTGTAATCCTGAAATCGCTGCATCTTAAAATAAATAAATGAATCTTTAAATACTGAAGCTTGAAAGACTTTTTCAGGTATCGCCGAACAATGGCAAATTAGCACAGTTGTGGAGAATACCTAAAAGGAAAGTATAATACTTTAAAATCAGGACATGGACATGGTTAAGTATAATTATTTAATTGTACATTGAAATGGAAAATGGCTCTGCGTGTGTGAAAGGAACATGGAAATTTCCACTGGAGCTAAGTAAGATCTCTCTGGGTGTCTAATAGGTTGATAATGAACTGAGAATGTGTCTCTGCTGTTCTCCCAACCCATCCTAGTTGGAATCTGTTTGCAACAATCTGAAACGGATTTTGCTTCCAACATTCCTAATTGTGGAGGCTGTTGGATTTTGAAAGGCGGGAGCTTAGCAAATTACTCTCCAGGTGGTGCAGTGGGTCAGTGTATCTGGCTGTTAACCAGAAGGTCAGTGGTTCAAAGCTTTGGGCCAGGATTCCTGCATTGCAGGGGGTTGGACTAGATGACTCTTGGGGTCCCTTCCAACTCTACAATTCCATGATTCTATGTATTGAACTTGGCCAATACATAATGCAACGGTTTTGCAATTCCTTGAAACAAGATTATTATTTTTTTTAAAAAGAAAGTAGAGTTTTAAAATGTCGCACTGAAAATCAGACCCGTTCAGCTGTTTTATTGTTGTCTTTTGTGTCTTCCTTGCACTAGGTTCACCAAGATGAAGACGGCGACCAACATCTACATATTTAACTTGGCCCTTGCTGATACCTTGTGCCTGATAACTTTGCCTTTCCAAGGCACCGATACCTTCTTAGGTTCCTGGCCATTTGGAAACGCTCTCTGCAAGATTGCCATCTCCATCGACTACTATAACATGTTCACCAGCACCTTCACGCTGACGATGATGAGCGTGGACCGATATATTGCCATCTGCCACCCCATCAAGGCCCTGGATATCCGCACACCCCACAAGGCGAAAGTCGTCAACGTCTGCATTTGGGCTTTGGCCTCTGTCTTTGGTATTCCTGTGATGGTGATGGGATCGACCGAGAATGAAAACGACGGTGAGTGAAATGAAATATCTTAAGAATGCAAGATGGGCTGTCTGTTTTAAACGGTAATTGTTAAAATCTATGGGGTGGCGGGTGGCACTGTGGTCTAAACCACTGAGCCTCTTGGGCTTGCCGATTGGAAGGTTGGTGGTTCGAATCCCTTTGCCGGGGTGAGCTCCCATTGTTCGGTCCCAGCTCCTGCCAACGAAAGCACGTCAAAGTGCAAGTAGATAAGTAGGTACCGCTCTAGCGGGAAGGTAAAAGGCATTTCCATGCGCTGCTCTGGTTTCGGTGTTCCGTTGCACCAGAAGCGGCTTAGTCATGCTGGCCGCATGACCCGGAAACTTGTCTGTGGACAAATGCCGGCTCCCTTGGCCTGTAAAGCGAGATGAGCACCGCAACTCCAGAGTCGCCTGTGACTGGACTTAACTGCCAGGGGTCCTTTACCTTTACCTTTTTATTAAAATCTATAAACTTTCTTCTTCATTTAGGCTGCAACCTAAACACCACTTTCCCCAGGAGTAAGCCTCATTGGATTCAAGGGGACTTACGCATGAGTAGACATGGCTAGGATTGCACTGGTAGAAAAACAAGTTGGATTCAATCCAACTTTGGTTCATCAGTTTCAACAGCTCTACTCTGAGTAAAATGCAGTTGAATGCTCCCCAATGTTTTCCTAAAATGCATAACTGCCACATGGACTTTTAACTTATGCCAGCCTTTGCCAACCTGCTAAAAATATAGACCCAGCATGCAGCAGGTTTGACAAAGGTACGTTTGCATGCTGGGGTCATTCGGAAATGCAAGGTGGTACAAACCACTCAATATTGGGCTGGGAAAAAAGACTAGAACATCATTTCCAGATGATCTGGACTACAATACCCATCATCCTTGACCATTGGCCATGTTGACTAGGCTGATGGGAATTAAAATCCAGAACATCCTGAAGGCACCAAATCACCAAAAACTGTTGGCAGCAAGGCCTTCAGCTGTGGTTCAAAGACTAATTCTCATTACCTGGATATTCCTTAATTTATTGGTGTTTGAGCTAAATGAATGACTTCCTACCCAAGGAATGAGAAATCTACCAGAAATAATAAAAGATGATGCACTCATAGCTATATAGGTACTTTCTGGAGTGCTTTGAAGATAAGAAAGTCACAAGAAAGGGCATTCCTTTCTTTCATTGTTTCCTCAACCTTCTGTGATTTTCAGCTTTGCTTTTCAGATTATACAAACAATTCAAATTCATCTATCTGTAGATAAATATTACTTTGTTGTAAAATGGTTCTGATGGGGTTGGCTGGTAAACTTAGGTGCAGCAATATATTTTTGTAGTGATTCACTATGTAGAATCAGCTGCCGGCAATATATATACCACTCGCTATAGACACACACACACACACACACACATGGCAAAATGCCTCCATCCAATTTTGCAATGCATATCACTCAGAAGGTGTGTGTATGTGTGCATTTGGATCAAAATGCCCCCTCCCCCATTTTGCAATCTTCAAAGGTGTGTGTGATGGTAGTGGGGCGTTTGGGCAATTTTTTGAGGGCCAACTCCTGCCACCCCACTGCCATACATACCGTATTTTTCGCCCTATAGGACGCACTTTTCCCCCTCCAAAAATGAAGGGGAAATGTGTGTGCGTCCTATGGGGCGAGTGCAGGTTTTCACTGAAGCCTGGAGAGCGAGAGGGGTCAGTGCGCACCAACCCCTCTCACTCTCCAGGCTTCAGGAGAGCCCCACCGCCAACCCCACAAGCTCGGGGGATAGCGGGGAGGCGCAGCGTGCCTTTCCCACTGTCCCCCGACTTGGTTAGAAGGCTGGCGGAGGGCTTCCCCCTCCTCCAGCCCCGCAAGCACCCAGAGCGATGCCAAAGCTGCGTGCAGCTTTGGCATCGCTCTGGGTCCCATTCTGGGGGCTGGCGTCGGGGGAAGCATGAGCTTCCCCTGCCCCAGCCCTGCGCCTGGGGGGAAAAATAATTTTTTCCCCTTTATTCCCACCCCCCCAAATCTAGGTGCGTCCTATGGGACGGTGCGTCCTATAGGGCGAAAAATATGGTAAATATCATGGCCTCGATCTAAGGGGCATTTGGGGAAAATAAAAATCTCAGCTGCCAGCTGCCAGCCTTTGGCAAGAGTCCTGGCACAACTGCAAATCACATTGGACTTACAGAGATCGACTTAGTTGGGACTGAACCCTTGAATTCCACAGACCAAATCCAAAAAATTATGCTAACCTTTTCCTCTACTAGACTGCCCTCACTGATTCACAAGCTGAAATTCAGATTGTCAAGCAGAGGAGTTTTTCCAACCTGGGTATTTTGCAATTCTATTGTTGCGCCCTTATGTAAGATGAGGACTGGTGCTTCAGAGGGGCCCACAAAACCAAAGCCTGGAACCCCAATGGAAGTAATGACATCACAAAAAAAACTTGACAGGTGGGGAGGAAACAGACATGCCTGAGTTGAATTCGCAGGATCATGCCCAGCATCAAAATAACCAAGTGAGCCAAAAGGAACAGCCGATTCCTCTAGACAACCATCTTCAGGAATCTGAGCACTCTGTAAATCCTTTGGAAGAGGATTTTCTCAGCTCCTTTAGGAATCTCCCTCAGGAAGACCACCAAACAGTCATCAAGAGGCTCGATCTTATGAGCCAGACGTTGAAAGAGATTAAAGAATCGGAGGCAGAGACTGACAATAGACCCAATGGCCACAACAGAATGATAACGATAGAAGTGCAAATCAGGGAATGAAAGCAGCGTCAGGTAAACTTGGGGGAAGCCTTGCCAGCCTCCAGTTTTTCAAGCTGAAATGTCTTAGCAGAGAACTTCCACAGTCTTCCAATGTTATCATGCAGTGTTAGGGTTTTTGTTTGTTTTTGTTTGCATCAATTGAATTTTGGATCAATTCGCCCACTGTATAATTAATTTTGTGTTTTGTCTTAAATGGTGATGCTTAAAAGCAACGTCTAACAGGCTAGAAGGGAAAGGTCAGGAAAGACTATGGATGTCTAGGGATGAGCAACAACCACCCGCTCATCTAGGATGATGGATGAATCTGCCAATTTCATTTTCTCTCAGTTTATCATTTTCCCAGTCTTAAACCATTCCATTTCAGCTTGCATCTAGGGTGAGTTATCATGAAAATCCATCAGCATTTTCATGTGAATTTCTATGGATATACACCTTTTGTTTGCAAACACGTTTCCCTAGAAAGCATTTTTCTTCGTATTTTCCATAAATATAGGCACATTTCAGTTCATGTTATTCAGCTGGAGAACTGAATCCTATTATTTTGAAAAGGGCTAATTTTGAAAGATAAATGTGTTCCAGCTCATGTGTTTGTTTCGGGAACTGCAAAATAGGGGGCTTGGCATTCAAATGCAAACCGAACTGAATTTCTCCCCCACCTGGTACTTTCATCTCAATTTCCCAGGTACATTTCCATATATCAGCCTCCTCCAACTTGGTCCCTTCCAGATGTTTTGGACTACATCTCCCATCATCTCCAGCCACTGCAGCTGACGGGGACTGCTGGGACCTGTAGTCCTGAAATTCTGGAGGGCATCAGGTTGGGGGTGGCTGCCCCACACCTTGGCATTGTCTGGGGGGCATTTTGCTTGGAGATGGTAAAAATCCATTTCAGCTTTGCTTCAGATGCATGGAGCTGGAATCGTTTTTTAAATGCAGCAGTGGAAATCTCTATGCAAAGCACGGCATCTTCAGAAGAACCCCAAAGCAGAGCGCCGCGAAGTTATTAGTTCACCTGTCAGCAAATTTAGTAAAGAGACGTAACTCCAGCCCAGCCAGCCAGCACCCCCTCCCAATTCTGGGCATGACAACAAGTTACAAAACCAAAAGAATCTTCCGGGCTCACTAGTAAGACTCGAGGGGCCCATGTTTCCGTTCCTGACTGCTTGCCAAGTGTGAAATAGCTCTGAGTAATCTTGAGCTTACATGGGCTTGGCTGGGGTTTTAATGCCACCCATGACATATCGCCTGAGCTCCCAGAACAATTTGGGGAATTAAGGTGGAAGGGAAGACTTAGAATCATAGAATCATAGAATCATAGAGTTGGAAGGGACCACAAGGGCCATCGAGTCCAACCCCCTGCCAAGCAGGAAACACCATCAGAGCACTCCTGACATATGGTTGTCAAGCCTCTGCTTAAAGACCTCCAAAGAAGGAGACTCCACCACTCTCCTTGGCAGCAAATTCCACTGTCAAACAGCTCTTACTGTCAGGAAGTTCTTCCTAATGTTTAGGTGGAATCTTCTTTCTTGTAGTTTGGATCCATTGCTCCGTGTCCGCTTCTCTGGAGCAGCAGAAAACAACCTTTCTCCCTCCTCTATGTGACATCCTTTTCTATATTTGAACATGGCTATCATATCACCCCTTAACCTCCTCTTCTCCAGGCTAAACATGCCCAGCTCCCTTAGCCGTTCCTCATAAGGCATCGTTTCCAGGCCTTTGACCATTTTGGTTGCCCTCCTCTGGACACGTTCCAGTTTGTCAGTGTCCTTCTTGAACTGTGGTGCCCAGAACTGGACACAGTACTCCAGGTGAGGTCTGACCAGAGCAGAATACAGTGGCACTATTACTTCCCTTGATCTAGATGCTATACTTCTATTGATGCAGCCCAGAATTGCATTGGCTTTTTTAGCTGCCGCGTCACTGTTGGCTCATGTCAAGTTTGTGGTCAACCAAGACTCCTAGATCCTTTTCACATGTACTGCTCTCAAGCCAGGTGTCCCCCATCTTGTATTTGTGCCTCTCATTTTTTTTGCCCAAGTGAAATACTTTACATTTCCCCCTGTTAAAACTTGTTCAAGCGCTTATGAAGCCCAAAACATCAGATGTTCCACTTGCCTGTGGATTAGTCCTCTTGCTGCTCATTGGCTAAATTTCATCCCTGGGTGTGCCTGTGTGTCTACCTAGCTCCCTAAAAATTATTGATAACATTCATATCCTTCCACAGACATCTGAAGGCAGCCCTGCATCGGGGTGATTTTAATGTGTGGTGTTCAATTGTGTTGTTGTTGTTGTTGTTGTTGTTGTTGTTGTTGTTGTTGTGTTTTTGTATACTGTACTGTGTTGGAAGCTGCCCAGAGTAACTGGGGCAACCCAGTCAGATGGGTGGGGGTATTATTATTATTATTGCTATTGCTATTGTTATATCCCAGCACTCCTCCATGGAGCTCAGCGTGGAATATGTAGCTTTCTTTCCCTCTCCTCTTTTGTTCTCTCAACAACCCTGCGAAGTAAGTTAAAGTGAGAGAAAGCGGCTGGCCAAGAACAACTACAACACAGTGATTATCATGGCAAATGTTCCAGATTTGGTGGGTGTCAGCCATATTATGGGACTGTTGAGAGTCGCTTGGGGTTGGGGGAAGACAATAGTTCAAAGGAATGCATGCAGAAGGTCCCAGTTTCAATCCCCGGCATCTTCAGGTAGGACTGGAAGAGACTCCTGCCTGAAACCCTGGAGAACTGTCACCAGTCAGTGTGAGGAATACTGAGCTAGATGGACCAATGGCTTAACTTGGTATAAGGCAACTTCAAGGGGGAACTGGGGATTTTCAACACTGGTCTCCTATGTACAGGTCCAGCACTCTAAACACTGTACAACACTGGCTGTCAGGCATTAGAATAATAGAATTGTAGAGTTGGAAGGGATGCCAAGGGTCATCTAGTCCAACGCCCTGCAATGCAGGAATAATAATAATAATAATAATAATAATAATAATTTATTTATTTATACCCCACCCATCTGGCTGGGTTTCTCCAGCCACTCGGAGCGGCTTCCAACAGACTATTAAAATACAATAACCTATTAAACATTAAAAGCTTCCCTAAATAGGGCTGCCTTCAGATGTCTTCTAAAACTCTGGTAGTTGTTTTTCTCTTTGACATCTGGTGGGAGGGTGTTCCACAGGGCGGGTGCCACTACCGAGAAGGCCCTCTGCCTGGTTCCCTGTAACTTGGCTTCTTGCAGCGAGGAAAATGCCAGAAGGCCCTCGGCGCTGGACCTCAGTGTCTGGGCAGAATGATGGGGGTGGAGACGCTCCTTCAGGTATACTGAACCAAGGCCGTTTGGGGCTTTAAAGGTCAGCACCAACACTTTGAATTGTGCTCAGAAATGTACTGGGAATCTCAGCTAAAGCATCTGTGACGGATGCCCATCCAACCTCTGCTTAAAAACCTCCAAGGAAGAAGAGTCCATTACCTTCTGAGGGAGTCTGTTTCACTGTTGAATAGCTCTTCCTGTCAGAAAGTTCTTCCTGATGTTTAGTCAGAATCTCCTTTCTGACTAAATCTATTGATTTGGGTGAATTCTCCAGAGCAGGAGGAAACAAGCTTGCTCCATCTTCCACGTGATAGCCCTTGAGGTATTTGAAGATGGCTATCATATCTCCTCTCAGTCTCCTCTTTTCCAGGCCAAACATACCCAACTCCCTCAACCATTCCTCATAAGGCTTAATCATCTTGGTCACCCTCCTCTGCACACATTCTAGCTTGTCAATATCCTTCTTAAATTGTGGTGTCCAAAAAATGGCCACAGGACTCCATGTATGGTCTGACCAAGGCAGAAGAGAGGTGTAATATTACTTCCCTTTATCTGGACAGACATCCTCACACTGAAAGCTGAGACCCCAAAGAACTCCTAGTAGATTCAGTTCTTTACACTCAGATGATATCATTGCAGATTGTAATCCTCTTCCACCCCAAGATTATAAATGCCCCTATTGTCACAGTGTGTTTTGAATCTCTCTCCCTATAACAAACTTTCTTTTCATAACCAAACCCTTTCTTTCCTTTTTTGCCTCTGCAGAGATCGACTGCCTGATCAGACTCCCCGAACCTGTGAATTATTGGGATCCAATATTTGGGATCTGCATATTCCTCTTCTCCTTTATGATCCCCGTCATGGTGATCACCATTTGCTACAGCCTCATGATCAGGCGCCTGAAGAACGTCCGCGTTCTCTCCGGATCAAAGGAGAAGGACAGGAACCTCCGCCGCATCGCTCGTCTGGTCCTGGTGGTGGTGGCTGTTTTCATAATCTGCTGGACCCCCGTCCACATCTTTGTCCTGGTCCGCTGCCTTGGGGCCAAAGCTGACAACGAGTTCAAGCTGGCCATCTTGTACTTTTGCACCGCCCTGGGCTACACCAACAGCTGCCTGAACCCAGTGCTCTACGCTTTCTTGGACGAGAACTTTAAGACCTGCTTCAAGAAGTTCTGCTTCCCATCTGCCTTCAGAAAGGAGTTGCAGATGTCCAACCGCATGTGCAGTATTGCCAAGGATGTGGCTTATGCCTGCAAGAACTCAGATGGGACTAACAATCCCGCATGACTAGGCGTGGAAATCCCTATGGTACCTGTCAGCCAGCAAAGCCCGACGACCCCCACGTCGGAGTTGACTCAGATAACAGCTCTTTGAAGTCCAAGTGTTTTGGCCCACAGGCAGCCAGGAGGAGGAACGTATGAGAGCACCAATTTCACCATGATATAGAAAAGTGACCTCAGAATGACACTCTTCTTTCCCTCTAAAGGCTGCATTTGGTTATGCCTCTTGGATTCTGTAAGGCTACAGGTCCTGTAGACTTCGCTTGCTTGCACGCACACACAGAGAGAGACAATTTGTTTTGAAACGAAGGAGGCAATGCCGAAACGTGGGCAAGGAACATTTCACCACTATGTACAGCTTGAGTGACTTCAACAGATCATCAGGCAGGGAATCAATTGAGAAAGCGTTGCCTGGGGATTTCCTATGTGCTCTAAAAATCAAGCTTCATTGGAGCTACAGGCCAGAATGGCGTTGAGAGGGAACAATTTCCCCAAAATGTTCATGAGAACACGATGGTGCACCTTGCACCGTTCATTTCTGCCTCGAGCAAGGGAGATCCAGAAGGATCTCTTCATGCAGCCTTCAGTGGATGGGTGCATGGATACAGGATAAAGACCTACTTGGTGTTGGAGAATGCAATCTCTTTTGCGTTTGTTTGTTTTTAATATATATATAAAGTGCACCCTCGCTTCATCTGCAAAATCTCTCTAGTGAGCAACCTGAGAGGCTGCGATGATAAATATTAATCACTTTGATTAATGTACCCAGGGAGGTTTTTTCGCAATGCAGCAGTAACAGAAGCCACGGACGGGCATGGCTAGAATGAAATCAAGGGACATCATTGAGATGCAAAGCATCAGTTTGATCAGTGACGACTGAAGGGATGAAAAATGAAGAGATGAGCTCACTCCCCTCCCTACGACTGCTCCATGTACTCCCTGTACAATAAACTGCAGCAGCTGCTGTGCTTATGCCTAGCGAGTACCTAAGGACAAGCATACAGCCGAGGGCTGCTTAAATCTAATTATCCTTTCATATTGCAATGTGGATTCCAGGCAGGTTTCCTGATGGAAACCCGAGATGAAGCATTTAGTCAATTAAACCAATTCAAGTGTCTTAATGTGGAAAGAACAAATGTTTCAGGTTCATTATGGGCGTGAAAACAGGGAATCCAAAGTGCTGCGTTGTCGACTCACAGGAACTCGTGGCGACTGCTGTCTTGGGGGATCACAGCCAAGTAACTGTTGAATGGCTTGGAAAGTCAGATCAATGCTATCAATGGCTACTAGCTATGATGGCTGTATTGCCAGTGGCAGAGGCAGCATGCCTCAAACTAACATTTGCTGGGAATCGCAAAAGGGAGGGTGCCATTGCACCTGTGACCTGTTTGTGGACTTCCCATAGGCATCTAGTTGGCCACTGTGGGAAAAGAATATTGGATCTGATCCATAATGCTGCTCTCATTTCCCCCCAAGTAGATGGCTGGTGGTGGACTTGCCCAGTAATTTATCCCTAGTATTTGGTAGTCAGAGACATAATGGGTGGTTGATCAACCAGCTTTTATGCCGAGTAGATCTATTGAAATTAATGGACCTAATTTAGTCATGTTCATTCATTTCAACTGGATTTACTCTGAGTAATTGCTGAGGTTGAATACCACCCTAGAGGTTCCCCCCATGCAAATATCTCAGTGGCTTCCTGTTAGAAAAAGGACCCATTCTGCAAAAGGAACAGTGAGGGAAGGAGTTTGCTTTCCCCCTGAAATGCTCAGGGAACAATCTGACCGACAAAGAGCCACAAACGCTCTGCAGATATATATTGATTTAGCATTTGCAGAGGCTCCAAAGAACCTCAAGAACATTGTTTAGAACTAGAAAACAAAAGAGTTTCATATGACCCTCTTTATTCCCTCGACCTTTGGGGCAGGCTACATGCTACATGCAAAATCTCATGGTGGAGTTTTGTTGGGGTTTATTTTTGCCTGGAGAAAAGCAGGTTCGGAAGGAGGAAGCTTTGAGCAGAGACATGAGGAGGTGGGGTTGCACTTTGTGGAGGCCAGAACGAGGGAGAGCTGTCAGAAAGCGATAAACAGCTGCTGAGCAGGAAGAGAGAGGAGAGCCCACCACCCTCACCAGGTGATGGCTTGCACAGGTGGGCTGCACCTGTGCAGATGTAGGCTGGTGCGGATGACGTCCTCCAGGAACTCACCTTTACCTGCTGGTGTGAGATGGCAGGCCCTGGGGAAATGCTAAAAAATAATAATAATGGAAGTACTTTTGGCTTGGAATTGGCTGATCAATGCTGAGAGCTGGTAGGCTGCAGAATGGGAAATTGACAGAAATGTCTGCAGGATGTGAGAATTGGGGGGAGGGATAGGTATGGGTGTAGCTGTGTGGTTTCGGGAACAAATTTTGCATTTTTTGCTTGAAATTCGTCTTTCCTAGTAGCCCTATTGCACCAGCCTCCTCTGAGCCAACCCATGCCCTGGCTGCCCCCAGCAGATGCCCATGCATTCCTGCTCAGCGGCAAGGCCGTCTGAAGCATATCCTGCGCCATGGTGCAAAGATCCCTCCGGCGTGGTCCCAGAATTGCCCACCTTTTTTAGGGAGGACGGCGCTGCCGGCGACGCGCCCAGCTTTGCGGGGCTGGAGGAGGCGGGTAGCAGCTGGAGGGCAGCTCCTCCGGCGGGGAAGAGGCAGAGGCTGGACGCAGCGGCTCCCAGCTCAGCTGGCCGCTTCGTGCCACGGTGGCCACGGTAGGCGGAGGCTCCGGGCGCGGCACTGCTCCGGCGCGGCATGGCGGAGGCGGGCGAGGATGGCGAGCTGATGCTGGCAGGCGGTGCATCCAGCCTCCGCCTCTTCCCTGGCGCCCTCCAGAACTTGGCACCCTGGCGCCCTGCGCCACTAGCCTCTATGGTTAAGACGCCCCTGCTCAGCAGCCTCATACATTTACTGCCTTCTATCCAATCTCCGGACGCAGGTGGCATTGTGGGTTAAACCACAGAGCCTAGGACTTGCCGATCAGAAGGTCGGTGGTTCGAATCCCCGCAATGGGATGAGCTCTCGTTGTTCGGTCTCTGCTCCTGCCAACCTAGCAGTTCAAAAGCACGTCAAAGTGCAAGTAGATAAATAGGTACCACTCCGGTGGGAAGGTAAATGGCGTTTCCGTGTGCTGCTCTGGTTCACCAGAAGCGGCTTAGTCATGCTGGCCACATGACCCGGAAGCTGTACGCCGGCTCCCTTGGCCAATAAAGCGAGATGAGCGCCGCAACCCCAGAGTCGGTCACGACTGGACCTAATGGTCAGGGGTCCCTTTACCTATCCAATCTCCACTGTGCTTGATCCTTCCCCCACCACCTGTTGTTCCACTCCAAAACACCCCACACCTGTTAATACCCCAGGGTGCTTCACATTTTTTTTTGCAATGTGAAATACACGTAGAATTCTGTGGGGAGGGGAAATCAGCTCAGGGGGAGACTGAAGTGGAAAGCAGAAGGTAAGGAAAGGGTGAAGCTCTCCCCTCTTGCTTCTCTGCTCAGAGCTGTCCCCTCTCCTTGCTGCTTTGCTTTACCAAACCTGCCCATCAAGGCACCATTAACGCATATAATGTATTGGGAAAGAAATGGAATCTTTCCTTGCTGTGCCTGAGAAAAACGATTTCTATTTTTATTCTTGCAAAAGCATAAAAAGGAGACATTGGACAAGCACTAACCCCACCAGAACCCTATAGAAGTTGATCAGAACAGAAGGAAATGTGTGATGCTTTCCCTCTTACCATTGACTGTACAGACCCCTTGTGGAAATACTTCTTTGTAACCAGTTTGATGAGATGATGTATTTTTTCACGTGTTGGTCCGCTGGATGTTGGAACGCTTCCAATGTATGCTCTATATGCTGCTGTGCTTCTATGTTTTGTAGATTCTGGCTGCAGTTCTAACCCCACTTACCCGGGAGTAAGCCCTGCTGGAATCCACAGAGCTTACTTCAGAGTAGACACGGCTTAGGATTGCACTGTTTGTCTCTCACAGTGGGGTTTCGGAAACCCGGTGAGTAACTACTTGACATTCCTGCGAAATATGACTGGAGAAGCAGGAGGGCGAAGAGACTCCAGGAACTCATTTTTGGGGAATGGCTGGAAACAACTGTTTGGCAAACAGCCAGCAAGCTGCTCATATTTCTTGTCAATGTTTTAAAGCAAAAGGCGGGCGTAGCAAGCATGTTGCAATGAAGAGCGATTCCGATTCTGAATCTCCACCGGAGGGCAGACGCCGCAAATGATAACTGTGCATGCCGTAACCCCCAATCCCACCCCGACTAAGTTAGTTGATATTTCGGTCCTATTGAAACCAATTGGTCACCATTTATTTATTTATTTATTTATTTATTTAGTTTCATAACGTTTTCACACTGCTTGCTTCTGTCAAACAGAAACAACAAAAACCTGAAACCCTGTAAGAAGTATTACAAAGAGAAGAAAGCAATGAAATTATCAGTAAAGACAGTTAAGAAAAAACAAGTATTTGAAGCATTTATTTATTTATTTTTTAAAAAGGAAATAGGGGAAAAATCAGCACTAAACTAAAAACAGATTGAGAACACATACGTCAACATTCTGCATGCCTTGGCTTGGCTTGTGTAAACAGAAACATTCTTAGCGGACACCGAAAAGTGGTACAGTGATGGCGTCTGCCTGATGTCAACAGACAGGGAGTTTCAAAGTTCCAATGGGACTGAAGTTCAGCTACCTTAGTCTGGAATTTGAATCCAGCCTGATATCTGTATTTTTTTTTAAAAAAATATTCTGTTTGTGTATCACTGTTGCACCAAGGATCTAAAGGATCAACATGATTAATTTCTTCTTCTTCTTCTTCTACTGCTACTACTATGCCTAAAACAACTAAGCATTCTACAAAGATTTAAAAAACAAAACTGGCTTTGCAGTCTAATCAGCATTTAGCATAGCTTGGGCTTTCATAACCGCCCTGTCTGGTAGCTTTGGCTGAGAGATGGTGGCTAGCTCCCGGGCATTTATTTAGCTTTGTGTTTGAGCCTTCATTTGAGCTCATCTCCCCGGGCCTATGCTTTAGGGCTACACCACATTGACTTATTATTATTAACTTTATCTCATTCATCTTCCTGAAAACCATGTGAACCAGGTCATTGATTCAGGTGATTCACAGGTATACTGCTTCAAGTCTAACACCCCCTTAGCATACTTAAAACTGCTGGTGCAAGTTAAAAAAATGGGTATATTACCAGGAGAATTCATGGATGCCAAGATCCAAGTTTGGGGCAAGTACTCTTTGGGTGAGAGAACCCCATCAGAGATTTAAAATCACGGCAATGTAAAGCATGGAAATATAGGCCCCTGTGAGTTCCCAAACTTCTCTCGTCCCTTGCCTTAGAAAAAGACCATGTTTTGTAAGTTTAAAATGGTTTACTTACAAACTCTCCAAAGGTCAAATTCATGTGCCTTTCCATACAGCATTCAGAAAAAGTTTCACGGGCAGTAAAATGTGGCTCCATTACAGTGGTGAAAGTCTCCAAATTATTGGTATAGAAACTCAAGAGTGGCTTTTAAGAGCCATGTGGTCTGAGCTGCAGCAACCTGCTCAGCCTTCCTCATAAGTTGAGCTCCTCTAGTAGACTAGGAAAGAATAATTACCTAGTTCCTCCCAAGACTTCCTTCCTGGTAGGGTTCACATGCTGGAATGAAAAGAACAAAAGCTTGATAACCCTTCTTCCTCAGGTGAGGAGGAGTGACCCAGATAAGCTTGGCAGGACAGCTTTCTCTATGGTCTTAACCCCTTCATGGGTTAATTAGATTTAAGCGTGTTGGTTATATGAGGTTGGTTATCCCATAAAAACATTGAAAATAAATAGGCAAAACCTCTCCAGCTCACTGGTAACTCCTCACTTGCTTTAAAGTTCTCTGGACTTGTACACTGAAGTTTGCATTAAGTGTTTTGATCTGTCAGAGGAAGACATAATTAATGCTTGCAGAATCACCCACCAGCCAAGGTTAGAGATATTTTCCTAAGAACCTGACAGTTTTCTGCTGGGCTGGTGGGCGGAAAGATGGGCATCTAATCTTGCTCCATTAAGAACACCATTTCACAGCAATGGCAACAAATTCTAACTGTCTTTCAAGCAGACAGAGCAAAGACCCATCAAAATTATCCACCCACGAGCACACTTGGTAGATTATTTAAAAAAATTACTATTATTATATCAATCAGGTTGTTACCCACCAGCCTAGCACTGCCTTGAGGAATTTTAAATGTAAGTAGGATCTGCAACAGAATTTTACAGTGTACCAATTTGGTGTTCCAGCCATGGTCTCCAGGATACTTAAACCCATTCCCCTTCTCCCCTCCATTTTCTAATATACCCAGCAATCCATCAGTATTCTATGGGCACTCTCTGTTCCCACTGGGATGCCCACCCCCTTTTAGGGTTTTGTTTCCACCGGACGCTTTGCGCTTTGGGGAGTCCGATAAATCTGTTTCTACCTCCCTTGTGCATGTGGGTACTGGCTGTTTTGGCTACATAAGCATTCACAGGCACACACATGCAAATATATATCCTCTCTTCATTATTTATTGCCAAAACATCTATAGCTCCATAGTCATAAGCTGAAATAAATCACTGATTATAACAGAAGAAAGCAATATGCAAATTTTAAATTCCCGTGTACAGATCTAGGCTGCTTCCAGAATGTTGCTAATTTGCGGGTGGGATTCAGTCACCTACCAGCCAATTAAATAGGCTTTGGTGGGTTTGCGCAACAAATCCACCTTTTGCAGGAAGGAAAGTGATGGGGAAATGCAAAGGAAAGTATGGTAGAATAATTGCTTGGTGCAAACGGATCAGAACAATTGCTCAATATAAACAGTAGTTGTCGAGGAACTGAAAATAAATCAAGATGAAAGCTCAGTAAAAGGGTCATCCGGAAGCAACCCTGAGCATTCTCATTTTCAATATGATTCCTGTGCACTGTTCTAATTAGCATTCTCATTTTCAGTATGAAGGTCAAAGGAATTGAGATTGGAGGCTGAGATTGGAGGTCATGTCTGAGAGAACAAGGCTGCTTAGGAGCAGGGATTTTCAACCTATCTCTAGTAGCAAAGCAAACCTGTAATGTATGAACACAATGAAAGGGGCTAGCTAGGTGCTGGCAGGGAGAAAGTTTAATGTTAACTCTGGAGGTGCAACATAATCGAAATGGTGGCTGTTGTAGGTTCCACCCAGCCCTTACAAGATATCCTCAAGAACTGCTTCCCCAAACAGAAATAACCAATGGAAAACTTGGGGAATGTACATTCACGATCCCTTCAGTCTCAGTATTCCTGGTAGACTGCACTGAAGTCTTTTGTGCTGAGAATTACCAGCCCAAGGATTAAATAAATCCCTCCTCCTAATAGCAAACTCAGGGGTGAGTGTTGATGGGAATGGAGCCACAATGTGTCCACTTGGGGAAGAGTTGTGGCTCAGAGGTAGAGCATCTGCCTTGCATGCAGGAAGTCGCAGGTTCAGTCCCTAATGGAACCTCCAGGTAGGGCTGGGAGAGAAGTCTACCTGAAACCACAGAGAGCTGCTGCTGGTCAGTGTAGGCAAGGCTGAACTAGATGGCTCCACTGTCTGACTTGATAGAAGGTGGTTTCCTACCAGCATGCTCAGAGGGAGCTTGAGGCTCCCAGAAGTACAAATAGAAGTTTATATAAAAAAAGAATCAAGGTGACAAAAGATAAATAAACCCCCAAAGAACTCAAGAGGTTTTTTCATTATCTCCCTCTCTCTGGAACAGAGTACAGTCATACCTTGGGTTAGATGTGCTTCAGGTTGAGCGTTTTCAAGTTACGCTCCGCGGCGACCTGGAAGTAACGGAGCGCATTACTTCCAGGTTTCGCCGCTCGCGCATGCGCAGACGCTCAAAATGACGTCACACACATGTGCGGAAGCGGCAAAACGTGACCCATGCACGCGCAGACATGCAGTCGCGTCTTACGTTTTACTCAGGATGCGAACGGGGCTCCAGAACGGATCCTGTTCGCATCCAGAGGTACCACTGTATCCAGGAAATGGCACAGCTGCTGGCTAGATCTCTGAACAGGAGCAGTTTTGCTAGAACGCAAAGATGCACTGGATCATTTTATTGCAGGTCCTGCACATAATGAATTAATCAATTTGATTGCCCTCCTTGTATGCCCAGTGCTTTACGGACACCCCCCCCCCCCCCGATTAGGAACTCAAGTCCTTCGATTTGTGTAGGAGAAAAGTAACAGTCGTACAGTGGTACCTCGCAAGACGAATGCCTCGCAAGACGGAAAAGTCGCAAAACGAAAGGGTTTTTGGTTTTTTGAGTTGCTTCGCAAGACGATTTTCCCTATGGGCTTGCTTCGCAAGACGGAAAAGTCTTGCAAGTTTGTTTCCTTTTTCTTAACACCGTTAATACAGTTGCGACTTGACTTCGAGGAGCAACTCATAGCACGCGGTGTGGTAGCCTTTTTTGAGGTTTTTGAAGACTTTGGTGATTTTGAAGCTTTTCCAAAACTTTTCCGACACCGTGCTTCGCAAGACGAAAAAAACCGCAAGACGAAAAAACTCGCGGAACGAATTAATTTCGTCTTGCGAGGCACCACTGTATTATCCACCACCACAAAAAAACCAATGTGCTTGGTTTTGTCATTTCCATAAAGTACCTCTGATTGTTCCCCTGCTTTTGGCTACCCTCGGTAAAATCCCACCTGTTTTCCATGTGAGTTCTGGCAATTGGAAGGAAATGTACAGGGGTGAAAACTGCCAAAGGGCAGCTTTTAATGGCTCCGGGGATCTGTGCAGTCCTTTAGCCTCAGGAGCAAAGAGAGAGCCAGGGTTGGCCTAGCAGTCAGAGCGTTGGACTACGACCTGGGAGACCAGGGTCGGCCATGAAGCTCACTGGCCAACATAAGGGGCCATTCACTGCCTCTCAGCCTAGCCTACCTCACAGGGATATTGTGAGGACAAAATGGGTAGGAGAAGTATGAAAGCCACCTCGAGTTCCTTGGAGGAAAATGTGGGATGGAAATGCAATAGATGGATGGATGGATAAAGGCAGGGTATCTCTGAGCCTTGTGAGCAAAGGGGGCATGGAATGCTCAGAAAACTTCCCCCATCTGACGGAGCTAAGGCAGACATACTTCTGCGTGGTCCCTGTAAGCTGTGCCCCTTGCCAATATGATCAGTCCATATAACCCCAGACCATGAAATTAACAAAACTGGCAACCCCTAGTGACTGAATTGATGTGAGAATAGAGTAGGGCTGTTTCGAGCTTAGATTTTAAAATCCGGCTGATTCATTCAATCATGCAAACATTGATGTGTGTGTTCTCCTGAGGACTTGAAAGTACTTAAGTCTGACTGATCGTGGTCAACATTTCTCACAAGTTAAAATTTTTGGAGCAAGTTTGAGAATTATGCCTGCCTGTTTCAAAATCTGCTCAATTTGAATTATATATATATATATTTTATTTTCCCCACCATCCATCAAATTCTAGGTAGGGAAATCTGATTGTACTCCCTTCTGCTCCATATTTTCCAGGTCGACTAAAGACATCTATGCTTGAAACCAGCTTTTCTGTTCTGTTTCAAGCATTTAGATAGCTGTTTCAGGCTTTCAGAGGGTTGGGCTGGATACAATGTTAGGTTTTTTTGGACAATGAAGATCCAGGTTGTCCGATTCTTTTTTCGGCCTGTGAAACTCACTTGTTGAGCTTGGAGTGGTCCCCATCTCTCAGCCTCACCTACTTTGCAGGGGTGTTGTGAAAGTAATCTCACATGCTCTTCCCTGAGCCCTTTGAGAAGAACAGGGTGCAAATCTGGTACAAATGAAAACTAATAATAATTAATGTATATTTGCTGAATACACTTATCATGGAACTCAAGGTGGCATACATTGTGATTCCAGACCAGACCAAGACCTGCTTAGCTTTAGCGAGGTGGCGGCAATATGTATCCCTGGACCACATTTAGGAAAGCTGAAATTCAAAACTAAACAAAGGCAGAGGGCATTTTGGGGGGGTTAACTACGACGCTCCAACATTTAAGCATTCCATTTTAATCTCAGTCTGTAAACCTCTGCCAAGCTGGTGTCCTTCCAAATGTTCTGGACTACAACTCCCATCACCATCATCTCCAGTAAACCTCAGTAGCACTTGTTATTCACAGAGAACATGCTCAGAGTTATGACTCCTGAAAAAGATCCTCTTTTAATTTAAAGAAGAATTAAGAATATAGCTTTATTGCTCTGTGCCTATGGAATTATATGGACCGTGATTGGCTGACTGGCTGGTTGAAATGCAGTCTTCTTAATTATCTGCAGAATTATCTGCAGAACTATCTTAATTGTCTGCTGTTGATATGAGTGAGCTTTGTAACTATTGCTGTGCAAATGACCATTTTTCTAGGCAGCTACGTGTGCTTGAAGAGAAACTAATAAAACAACCCAGCACTTGGAAATCTGTGGCAGTGATTATCATCATCATCATCATCCGGCTATCAAAGCCATGGTGGAGAGGTTCCCATGCCATTATGCCTCTGAATACCTGTTGCTAGAAACCCCAATTGGGGAGGGTTTTTGGTTGGCCACCGGGAGAAAAGTAGAAGACCAGTCAAAGTGGGGTCCCAAATCTCATTGTGGGAAAGGGGCATACACAACCTTAATTGAGACTCATTTCTGCAAACAACATTTTATAGGTAAACCATTCAACACATACATACATGCAGTGCCAGACTGACGTATAAGCTAAACAAGCTATAGCTTAGGGCCCCACTCTCTTGGGCGCCCCCCCAAAAAAAATTTAAAGGAAAAGAAAACCTGGATGTACATTTCCAAAATATAAGGTAAAAAACAAATAAAACAAAACCTACATACAGCAACAGTGTTTGTGTTGTGTAGGCTCCTGTGATGTAAGTAATGGGCCCCGCCTGCTAGCCTGCTCCCTAAAAGATCACTGGTTTGCTCATTTCTCTATCAATTACTTTGATGAAGTACATATTTTGTTATGTGCAAATGGCTTTAGATACCTATTAGCTCCATAAATTACTGAAATTTTTGCTCTATAAGACTCACCTTTTCCCTCCTAAAAAGTAAGGGGAAATGTGTGTGTGTCTTATGGAGCGAATGCAGGCTGCGCAGCTATCCCAGAAGCCAGAACAGCAAGAGGGATCGCTGCTTTCACTGCGCAGCGATCCCTCTTGCTGTTCTGGCTTCTGAGATTCAGAATATTTTTTTTCTTGTTTTCCTCCTCCAAAAACTGGGTGCGTCTTGTGGTCTGGTGCGTCTTATAGAGCGAAAAATACGGTACCATATAGCATATATTCAACATAAAAAACAGTGACAATTTGTTGTTGTCAAAGGACAGCTGGACATATAAAGGGCCCCATTCCCTTCAGTAGCTTAGGGCCTCATCAAACCTAAATCCGGCCCTGCATACATGATACACTTGGTCAAAGCAAGCTGCTGCTTCTTTAAATTTTCAGCTCCACCAAACAAAGCACAAAGCCTGGGTGGCAACATGATTCCTGCACTTCCATGTGTATTATCAAACGGCGAGCTTTATATGAAAGCCAGCACCTCCCAGGGTTTTAGTAGAGCCTAGTTGTCTCTCATTTTGAATAGCCTATAATCTTGCCTTTTCAAGCATATTTTCTTTGGCAAAATGCATAGCGGATTGAGAGAGATAATCACCTTCCCTTGGGGATTAAGAGGAAAAGAAGGTGAACGACCTGACCCCGAGGGTTTGGCCATTCCGTCGCATATCTGTGTTGAAGAAAAAACACAGATGCTCAGCTTTATTCATGATATTTAGGGCCTGTACATACCGCAGCTTCATGCGGATTGTGAACCCCTTGTGCCTCCTTCAACGGTGGCTTTGCTCTGCAATGTTTCCACTGTCATGGGGGCTGCCTCCATTAAGGGAGGTGGGACCGGAAGCCAAAAAGTAATTAACTAACTGTATTATTTGCATAAGTACAAAAGAGCCGAACTGCATAGCCCCATGTAACCTCTCTCATTACACAGAGAGTTGGCCTTATTAATTAGCAACCAGCGTTTTCCGTAGTTAATTACAAAATGCACACACACCGGTGTGCATGATTAAATCCTTCTCTGTCTGTATTTTAGGTATCCTTGCCCAAGTTGTTGGAAACTGTTACGGAAAAATCTAGGTGTGAGGCTGCTCAGTCACCCAGCTGGTCGGGCAGAGGCCCCGGGTCCCTGCGGAATAAAGGAAGGAGTTCAGCCACCGGAGCAAATAGCTGTAGTGTAGCACCCTGCTTGTGGTTAACGCTTAGCTGGAATGAAATATTCAACGCAGCAATAGAGAAATTAAATTAATAATTTATTTGTCAGACAAATAAATGATAGGCACAGTGGTATATGGATACCAAAGCTCTGCCCCTCCAGCCCTGATGGCCAGCACTTATATTCCCTCAGCCCAGCCCCCTTGCTCCTCCTTTGGCTGCCTCTGTCCAATCAGCCTGGTTGAAATTCCTATTGGCTGTTTGCTAGAACCAATCATAAAAGATACACCCATTTCCTATTACCTTTTATGGGAGACAAAGAGCTATATTTCCTTCTATCCATAAATGGCAGACAAGTAGCCATATATCTTACATTTGCCTCGACAAGGCACCTTAATTACCAGATCACCTTTTGCCCCTGTTGCCCCTGCATTCCAAAACAAATGGCTCATGGTATTAAATTCTGTCTAAACAGAGATCTTGGGTTCACATTCTCACACACCATCAATGAAATAAGAATCTAACATAAGAATCTAACATTTCTTACTTTCTAAATCCTTTGCATAATTACATTAAGCCAACAAATCTCATACATAACATAGATAGCTTTTTAGAAGAAAAGGCTTTTGCAAAGTAAAAAGGAACTCAATAAAAATAGCTTCAAAAGAAGTCTCTTCAGTTTACACCCCTCCTTTCCCAGCCAGCTGCTTTTCCCATTAGCTCTTCCCAAAATTTATTGCCCTTTAACTCTCTCAGTATACCTTAAACCTTAGGAAAATATGGCTAGAGTCTGATGGGAGGCACATGGTACTATTTTCTGTTAAACAATAAATCTTACTATTTACCAACTCTTAATTAGTGTTTTTGCAGCTTGATTGTATTCTGTAATATGTAGGGTCAGTGTAACATTTGCTCCCAGCCTGTAATTCCCTTTTACAACTTTGAGAAACTTGTCTCCTGCTACTGCTATAAATCATGGGGGGCCCTTGTTCAGGAGTGCAGGAAGATAAACAACTGCCAAAGTACTTAGCCAGCTGGTTTCTGCCTGGCATGAAACATACAAACATTTGCAAATATATCTTTAAGCTCATTTTAAAATACAGGCCTTGATCAGATGCCTCAGTAGACCAAAGTTTATTGTGCAACAGGTTCAAAGAGGAATTTTGAACCCTGAGGATGGGGTGATAAGGACTTTTAAAGCTTTCCCACCATATTCCAGAATACAGTTCGTACAGCATCACTGATACATCATTGCTACATCACTTACATGTCACAAAAGGGGAGGGTTACACATGAATCACATAGACAGATGTGTCAGGGCAATACACAAGTATAAGATTAGAATAGACAAATATGTCTTAAGTACCCACCACCCAAAAGTAAAATAGAACTTCCTTTGCATGTCTGGAGCCTGAGACAAATCAGGTGATGAGATTTGGCTTCCCTTGACTAACAATGAGCCCAGAAATTGTCACCTCTGGGAACTTCCTGGAGTCCTTTTTCAAGGAGAAAATAGCTTTGGAATGGAGGAAACTGGCAAAGGAGTTGATTTTATATTATTTTTAAAGCTAGGTAACTTCCCTGAGCTGTCAAGTTGAAAGGGTACATTCAGGCATAATATTTGTAACATTTAACAACTTTAAAGATGTGCCCCCCCCCCGTAATTTCCATAACAGGAATTAACTTGAGATGTAATAAAACAGCAGTGAGTTGGGCTGGTCTTGCCTTTACAAACATTCATCCTGCAGTGATTAACAGTCAGAACATTTGCCCCTGCTAGTGTTCCCAGGGCTGATGATAAAATATGAGACATACTCTAGATTTTAAAGTCTCAGATTTGCCTAAAGGGGCATCCTCAAGGAAGCACAGCAGCTAAGTTTCCATTATAAGGCAATTGCAGCTGGGAAATGCTGTTCTTCTTATTGATGTGCAAAGGAGATTCTCGGATAAGGAACATTGCACTAGAACAGGGGTCAGCAAACTTTTTCAGCAAGGGGCAGGTCCACTGTCCCTCAGACCTTGTTGGGGGGGTGGACTATATTTTTTTGGGGGGGGGAATGATGCAAGAGCACCATGAGCCCCAGTGGCTGCTTATCTGTGTCTTACGAGCGACAGGGGCTGGAGGCGGAGGCAGCAGAGGAGGGATGATGGGCGGCACGTGAAAGGTCTCTGGACAGGGGCTGCTTAAAATGGCAGCCACTCAAGTGCTGCTGCTGCTGTTGGCACCAACAAAGCCCAGACCCCTTCCTCCTCTAGGCAGGGCGGGGAGAAGACAGGAGGAGGGAGGGAGGAGGTGTGGGAGGGAGAGGGAGAGAGGGAAAGAATGCGCATGCTGGCGATCCACGCGGCGATTCCCGGACCGTCCGCGGGCCGGATCCAGAAGGCAGTTGGGCCTGATGCAGCTCGTGGACCTTAGTTTGCTGACCCATGCACTAGAACAGGGATGTCCAACACATTGATTGTGATCCACTGGTCAGTCCCTGCGAGGTTCTGCTCGATCGCTGGCCCCCTTCCGTCCCCGCCCCCTCTCCCTGCGCCGGCCTCTATTGTTACAGAAGGGAAGCCGGAGTTTAGAAACGGAGGCTGTTATTTGTCAAGTGATCGTCAGGTTAGTGGCTGCTTCTGTTCTGTCCCCCCCCCCAAAAGAAAAGCTCAACAATTTTGAAATGGGAATCAGATCCCATTTCCAGTGTCTTCTGTTAAGGGATTTCAGGTCTCAGGACTGGGAAAGACTCTAGTCTGAGATCATGGAGAACAACTTCCAATCTGAGTAGACATTTCAGCACCGGGTAAAGATGTTTTGCTTTGGCCTGGGAAATTCAGTATGTAATGTCAGTTGCAGGGGGTTGGACTAAATTGTCATTATACTTTTCAACCAATGTCAGCGACTGGGCTCAATAACTGGTTCTGCCCCGACTGGGCTAGGCGACTGGAGCACTTTCAGAGACCTTCCAATCCTGGAGTCCAACTGGACACACAACTGTGCATTGTGAGCACCAGACTCAGCAGAGTATAAACAACGTGGAAGCTAGCTGTGAAGCATAACTCCTTTTATTTCTAATAGCTGCTACAAACTAAAGAACTACTGGCTTGCAGGAGTGTTACAGCTCCCACTCTGCCATCTAGTCACTACATAGATAAGACTCTCTCCACACACAGAGTCAGGCAGTCAGTCAGGAGCAGGAGAGTAAAAAAGCAGTTTCCGCCCCCTCCTTTCTCAAAACATCAGACCAGGAGATTCTCGCAATGGGGTGTGTGTGTGTGAAAATATCAACATAAATGACCCACAGGGTCCCTTCCAACTCTACAATTCTATTATTCTAGTTCAGCGTGTTCTGTTAAAATTTAAGTTTCTGTTTTCACTGCTGCTTGAAAGCAGAATTTGAAGGGTAAATTTGGGGATCAAAGAGCAAGGCAGCAAACAAATATCCTGTGGTACAGAGCTGTGTTTGCTGCATTGCTCTTTGATTTCCCCTCCCCATAAATATATATATGTTTCAGCCTTTGGTGTATCAAAACAACTTCTTCACCACCTGATTGCTTGCATTTAGAGGATGGGGACTGGTTGACTTTTGGCAATGGCTGCCAAATCAATTTCATTTTAGTATACATAACAGATTTATTTCTGCAGATTAATCTGCTTTTCCCAGGACAGAAGTAAATTTAATGCAGAAAGTGGGAGGGAGGAGAGAGAATATTTAAATTTATGCAGTACGACAGGCCTCTTGGTGAGCATTTTGAATTCCAAGAGGCTTCTGATTCCGGACAAAGTCTTCTCTTGCATAAAATGGCAACTGAATCATGCGATGTGGTTGGCTGATGGAGGGGAGATTATGGGAGATGTTTCCTGCATGCCTTTGAAATACAAATCTGCCCAGCAAGGGATGCCTTAGCAACAAAGACTTAAGCGATGAAGCATTCTTAGCAATGGTGTTTGTTAAGTTGTGGGTGAACATATCAGACGACACAGCGATTCTTCAAACAGCTCTTGTTTATTCACAGGCCAGAACAAAACTAAACTGAAGGGTTCAGCCAGCCGGCTTATATAGAACTCCACTAGAACGCAACAGTAACCACTTTCTGTAACTAGCCAATCACTGAACGTCACTTTCAATCTCTTATTTGCGTATGTGGACCTGAGTGAAAACTATCTACAGTATCCCCCTGCTGGCCCAGGGTGAGAACTTCAGTACATAACAGTGTTGCCTTTCACGTGCTGCGGTCTTAGTGCTGCTGTGTCAAGGCGAGAATCCTGCTCAGGTCATCAATAACTCACAAGGTGCCAGTGAAGTTAACTCTTTAGTCAAAGAAACAAAACAGTAGGTCTTGTCCCACTGCTCTCCAAGCTTCATCCTCTCCAGAGGCCTCACCAAGTAACCTAAGACTTCTTTGCCTTGTCTATCTTTGCTCTGCGCTCTTCATATCTCTTTGGGAGACCAGGAGGAATGGGAGCTGGTCACAGCAGGAGGGGGAGACTCCCTGGCTTCTTCAGCAACCTGCCTCATCTCTGCCTCTTGACTCATCTCCTCTCCAGCCTCTGCTTCTGCCCCTGAGTCTGGACTGCTTTCTGCCACAGCCTCTCCCTGCTCACTAAACCTTGTTCCCTCTTCAGCAATCAGGCATTTTCTAGTGTGCAATTTGTTCACGATCAGTTTCAGCTGCATTTATTTTGTATCACATCATCTTCTTGTGCTTATGTCAGGTTTTCAATTTTTTCTTCAATTTTTCCCCTACGCGGCCTCAAGACTGATGGTGACATAAAAATATCTTAATAAAGAAAAGACATAAATTGTAAGAAAGCTCTCTGTTGTGGCTGTTATAATCACAAGAACAGGTCCAGATTAGGGAAGATCTGTTTGGTGGCAGCAAACCTCCATCCTTTGCGTACACAATAACATTTTGCACACCCGGAAAAATTTACTAGTGAATTTCAGTGAGGTAAAAATTCTACAAAACCAATAATCAGCATAGCCATTGTCACGTATGCAAGAATGTGACCTGACCACAAAACTGGTAAGAACCAGTTAAGAGAAAACCTAATGCTGACTGTTGGAGTGAAAAACACCTCTGGGTAAGTCAATATATAATATCTCCAGTAGCACCTTAGAGACCAACTAAGTTTGTTCTGGGTATAAGCTTTCGTGTGCATGCACACTTCTTCAGATACCATGCACTTCTTTGTGCATGGACACGGAAGCTTATACCCAGAACAAACTTAGTTGGTCTCTAAGGTGCTACTGGACAAATTTATTATTATTATTATTATTATTATTATTTTGACAGCGTCAGACCAACATGGCTATTCACCTGAATCTAGAACTCTGGGTTAGGTGCAAGGAGGTCTTCCCATCCCATAATGCATTACTGAATAAAGTATGACTAATTGGGAATCTGGTTCGAGTCTCTGTATTGAACCCACCAAGGGAATTTTCTTCTACAACAGAAAAGTTTTCTTCCCCTACAACTCTGAACTTTGAGGTAAGGTGATAAAAGCTTTCTGGTAAATGATATCTAATGAGCTGGAGGAAAAAATATTGAAAATAACCTTTTCTAAGAAACCAGAAGCTTTTCTTTTAGGAATTCTAGGCGCAGAGATCCCAAAGGGCCAGAAGAAACTGTTCATGTATGTGACCACAGCTGCCCAAAGTTTGTTGGCTCAGAGATGGAAACAATATATAGTTGCGACCAAGGAAGAGTGGCAGATAAAATTAATGAACTATACTGAATTGGCAAAACTTACAGGAAGAATCAAGAGCCAGGAAGAACCAAATTTTAATAAAGGATGGGGAAATTTTGTATGCATTTGAAAAATTATTGTAAACAACTACATTCATTAGTAGCTTTGATCAGTAGTAAGAATTTAAATTATGGCTTGATTAAGGATTTACAATAATTGGAGTTAGTGAGGAAATGCAGAATGAAAATTATAACATAAGGATCCACAAAGGGGGGGGGGGAGGCGGAGAGGAAAGACAATGGGGATAGGATGTTTGTATTTTGTATTTGTTGTTGTTTGTAAAATTTAAAATGCAATTTATTTATTTTTTAAAAGAAACAACAACACAAATCCTCTGAACTTTGAGCTGACACACTCTTGTCATGATCCTAAGGCTGGTGGAGGCCGCTAATGGAGGTTGGGAAAATCCGGTACTTGATAAACTGCTAGAATAGTTTTTTTATCAAATAATAATATATTATTATTGTTGTTGTTGTTATTGTTATTATTGTTATTATTGTTATTTATACCCCGCCCATCTGGCTGGGTTTCCCAACTCTAGGCGGCTCCCAACAAGTGGTTTATAAATTTACAAATTTTCTAAATAGAATGAATGAATGAATGAATGAATACTATCTGATTTGTTTTTATCTCCAAGTTGCTATGTTGCAAGGAAATTTCAAAGAGGCAAGAGCTCTTTCCAAAACCCTAGCGAGCTAATAAACACTAAATTCCAGAGTGCATTTTTGAGAGTGGTATTTTCCCCCAAGGCCTTTACATGCCCCAAATTCTGAAGTTTAAAAGATGTTCAAAGACGTTCACAGACATCTTTGATCTTTTCCTCTTCAGGCTTGGAGCAAACGCTGGAAAGATGCAGGCTTGATTTTCATCCATCTTGAAATGTGGATTTACAATTAAGATCAACTTCTCCTTTGCCCTTCAGGTTGGGAAAGATGGGGGGGAGGGGAGCAGTGAAATAGCTTTCACCTTCTCATAAACATTCATTAATGCAGGTTCCAATAGAAACCTTGTTTCTCACCCAAAAGAAATAGGGCTTATCGGCAGGTCCAACTAACAATGTTGCACAGGGAGAAAGTGTTTGGTTATAGCAACCTTGCATCCCTCTGGCCAATAGAGGCCAGTGTTGGCACTAACAGATAGTCAGGGAAAATACACTTTGTGGTTTCCTGTTGTTGTTGTTTAGTCGTTTAGTCATCCGACTCTTCATGATGCCATGGACCAGAGCACTCCAGGCACTCCTGTCTTCCACTGTCTTCCACTGCCTCCCACAGTTTGGTCAAACTCATGTTGGTAGCCTTGAGAACACTGTCCAACCATCTCGTCCTCTGTTGTCCCCTTCTCCTTGTGCCCTCAATCTTTCCCAACATCAGGGTCTTTTCCAGGGAGTCTTCTCTTCTCATGAGGTGGCCAAAGTCTTGGAGCCTCAGCTTCAGGATCTGTCCTTCCAGTGAGCACTCAGGGCTGATTTCCTTCAGAATGGATAGGTTTGATCTTCTTGAAGGCCATGGGACTCTCAAGAGTCTCCACCAGCACCAGAATTCAAAAGCATCCATTCTTCGGCGATCAGCCTTCTTTATGGTCCAGCTCTCACTTCCATACATCACTACTGGGAAAACCATAGCTTTAATTATACAAACCTTTGTCGGCAAGGTGATCTCTCTGCTTTTTAAGATGCTGTCTAGGTTTGTCATTGTGTGGTTTCCTACGAAACATCTAAGCCCCACACAGTAGGTCCCAAGTTCAATTCTTGGTGTCTCCAGATAGGGATGGGAGAGACTCCTTCCTTGAAACCCTGGAGCGCCGCTGCCAGTCAGTGCAGACAAGCCAATGGTCTGGCTCAGCAGAAGGCTGCTTCCCAGGTTCTGGGAATGAGTGAATGAAGGGAAACAGTCAATGCTGAGTTTGTTGCAATGCATACACAAGCCCTCCTCTATTCATAGCTGTCAAGCGTCCCTTATTTGGCAGGTCAGTCCCTTATCCCAGCGCCATGTCCCTGTCAGCATCGCCCTTGAGCCAGTGCCACCAACTGGACTCATCCACTTCAGCCCCGACTGGGCCAGGCGAGCTGGGTAGCACTTCCAGAGACCACCTTCTGCACAGGAACAGGTCAAAGTGCTGTGGACTCACAGCTTAGAGTTGTGAGCACCGGATTCACTTCCACAAGAAGACAGTCATTGCACAGCAGAGTATAGCAGAGCATAAACCACTCGGAGAACAGCTCTGTAGAATAACTACTTTTATTCTATCTACAACTATCATACACAACTATATACAGAGCTAAATGAGGTCTAAACGTAAAGCTGAACTGCACTGAGTGTCTGTAGCTGCTCTTAGCAGCAACCTTATCTATACACACAATCTCTCTCTAACACTCAGTCTCTCTCTCTCCGACACTTTGATGTGAGGCTGGAGCGGAATAAGTAGAGAGCAGAAATCGCCCCTCCTCTCTGAAGAATCAGCAGAGAACATCAGCAGATTCTTGGATATGGGAGGGGTGAAATCTCCTCAGTCCTGCTGCTGTCCCTTCTTGATGAGGCTTCGTTTGGCTGCTGGCTGGGCTTTCTGCCTTTGGCTCAGAGGGGCTCAGAAGTTTAACATACCTGTGCCCAGAAAATCCCTTATTTTGGCTGCTGATCCCTTATTTTCGAGGCTGCTGGTCCCTTATTTTCAAATCTGTAAGTTGACAGCTATGTCCTCTATTTCTCCTCCCAATTAAAAAAAAGCAAAATGATTACCATATTTTTCGCTCTATAACACGCACCCGACCATAACACGCACGTAGTTTTTAGAGGAGGAAAATCCGTAGGCATGCCACCCGTAGGCATTCCCTCCATAACACGCACAGATATTTCCCCTTACTTTCTAGGAGGAAAAAAGTGAGTGTTATGGTCCAAAAAATACGGTAATTTAAAAAAACAGATATTTATTGTAAAAAGAGAGTCGCGTTGCTTGCTCACTCTCTGGCTCTCTAGCAAGGTAACAAAACAAAGGCCACACTGCACTAAAAAAATGAATAATATTCCCTTCGTGAGCTGGCTAATGAGAAGAATGAAATGCAAAATGCAAGTAGCTGAGGGGGTGAGATTCTCCGAACATCTCAATGTTGAGTTTATCAACCCAGACTCCCCCCCCCCGATTCCTAGCTCACTCTTTAATCTCAGCGAAAAGTGAACCTCACAAACACCCCAATTCCACTCAAAAGGCAGACAATTCTTGCATGTCATATGCATGATTATATATATAATATTAAAATATCCAGATTTCCTTAATGAACCAGTACCTAAATAGAGTGTTCATATAACTCTACAAAAATGTGCATGCATTGATTTAAAATTATGACACAGAAACACAGCATGTATTATAGGTATCATTCTATGTCAGGAGCTGGAGTCAGGCATAGGTAAAGGTAAAGGGACCCCTGACCATTAGGTCCAGTCGTGGCTGACTCTGGGGTTGTGGCGCTCCTCTCGCTTTATTGGCCGAGGGAGCTGGCGTACAGCTTCCAGGTCATGTGGCCAGCATGACTAAGCCGCTTCTGGCGAACCAGAGCAGCGCATGGAAATGCCATTTACCTTCTAGCCGGAGCGGTACCTATTTATCTACTTGCACTTTGAGGTGCTTTCGAACTGCTAGGTTGGCAGGATCAGGGACCGAGCAACAGGAGCTCACCCCGTCACGGGATTCGAACCGCCAACCTTCTGATCGGCAAGTGCTAGGCTCTGTGGTTTAACCCACAGTGCCACCCGCGTCCCTGGAGTCAGGCATAGGTCAGCAATAAAACCACCAAGCACCAGATTTTAAGAAGTTAACTCTTTATTCCAGGAAACAAAACAGCGCAGGCCTAGTGGTCATAGCAACCCTTCCAGTAGGTCTTGCCCGAATGAGGCAGTTGCGAGGACTGAAGGTCTGTGTCTTCCCACTGCTCCCTAAGACTCCTCCCCCCCGATCCTTCCCAAGCAATCTCAGCTCCTTCATCTAGTCCCTCATTGCTCTGCTCTCTTCATTACTCTACTTGTTCTGGGAGACCGGGGGAGAGGAGCTGGTCGCAGCAGGAGGGGGCTATTCCCTGGATTCTTCAGCATCCTGTCTCATCTCTATCTCCTGACCTTTCTCCTCTCCTGCCTCTGGGTCGAGACTACCCTCCGGCATAGCCCCTTCCTGTTCCCTAAACCCTATTACCTTTTCAGCTTCTGGCACTTCCTCCTCCAAGTCTGCTCCCTCTTCTCCCTTTGCCCGCTCAATGTATGTCGTCCCACCACCACCAGTCCCCTGGCTCTTAGCCTTCTTCCCTTGGGGATTGGGTTCCCCAGCTCCCACTATTCCTCTGCAGCCAGCCGATCCATGACAAGGGAGAGAAAGAGAGAGAGAGAGAGAGAGAGAGAGAGAGAGAGAGAGAGAGTTGGGCTTTCGTTTGTTTTTTTAAAAAGATGACAATGCACAAGTGGCTTTGGCATAAGCTTGATTGGATCAGAACCACCAGATTCTGTGCATACAGG